GTTTTTTTCCCAATCTCAAAATGGACCAGTTTCGCTAGCACCTCTACCCACTTCCTGGATTGTGAAACTGAGTCTGGAATCTAGGATGTTGTGTTGCTCAGCCCACATTTGGCTTCTTCCTCCTCTAGCCAGACTCATCAGGTTATTTCCCCTCTTCCGACTTGGGCTGTACACAGCAGGTGCAGGGATTGGCTCAGGGGATCACCTCAGCTCCTGGGCTGGGGCTGAGTCACCCAGACTGCCAGCAAGGAGGCTGACAACACTGTCTGGGGCCCCAGAAAGGGGGCTCCAGACACATCCAGGCTAGAGCACCCGGGCTTCAGAGAACCCAGTTTTCTGTATAGTGACCCTTGGGGAATGTTTCTGAAAAAAGCGATCATTGTGTGTGAACTAAGCTGTAGGCAAAACTGGACCTAGCTTGCTGTGAAGCCCCTTAGCCAGGCCTTTGCTAATTAGAGCTGTATGAGGGTGTGTGTGTGTGTGTGTGTGTGTGTGTGTGTGTGTGTGTGTGTATACATGTGTTTGTGTATGCACCAATCCCCGTGTTCATTTGTGGGGTAGAATCTTCCCTTCTTTAGAGTTAAATAATGAAAAAAAATTTTTTTTCCTTTAAAGACTTCAGGTAAACTACAGGATGTAGGGTTTGCTTTCTGGAAAGCCTGAAGGGTATGGGAGGGGGCAGGATGCCTTCATTCTGGGATCCAGAGCTCCAGGAATTCGTGGGCAGCAGAGACAACCCTGTGGTTGACTGAGAGTTGCCCCAAGCGCAGCAGGAGTGCTCCCACACCTGGCTCCATGCAAAGCTGCCCGGCCTGTGCTGATCACCCTGCCTCCCTGTCAGGCCATGCTGCATGCAGATGCCTCCCAAGCTTCTGGATGGAGCCAGCCCAGCCAGGCTCAGTTCCCCTGCAGGTCTGCCTGGACCTCACAAGTGATTTGGGCTGGGACTGGGGGGCACAGTGTGGCTGGTAGGTTTCCATAACCCCTGAGTTCTGTCTCCAACCGCCCCTCCCCCAGTGACCCAGTGTCGGGGTGTGCATCTTTGATCTCAACATTCTGGAAACTGAAGGAGACTTCAAGGTCATCCTTAGAAAAGTAGAATTTGAGACCTGTCTGGGATACACAAGACCCCCTCCCCCACAGAAAGCCGGTTTTCCCCAAGGTAGAGTGACTCTTGCCACCGTATCCCCCCCCCCCCCCCCCCCCCCGGTCTCCTGGAATGCTGTAGGCTGGCATCCACTCCTGTCATACAGTTCCTTCAGATATATGTTCTCTAGCAAGCCCTCTTGGAGCCCTTGCTGGACTCCAAAGGCAATGGCTTTTTGGAGGGTGCTTGTATATGTGTATCTTGCCATTATTAGCTGGGGATATAGCTCAGTTGGTAGAGTGCTTGCCTAGTTCTCATGAAGCCCTGGTCTCCATCCCCCACTGGCATAGGCATACTGGAGGTAGGGTTTCCTGTAATCTCAACACGTGGGAGGTGACAGGCAGATCAGAAGTTCAGGGTCATCCTGGGCTACATAGAAGGGTGGAGGCTAGCCTGGGACACAGGAATCCCTATCTCCAAAACAAAGCAAGACATAATTTATTGTCCTTTGGGGTCTCAGTGACGCTTGAGAGTGACTTGACCTGACTGGGCTCATTCCACCACCAGACTTGGCAGTACTCATTGTTGCTTATTCTTTGTTTGTTTTTGCTCTCACAGGGTAGTGAAGCCAGGATGGAGGTAGTGTGTGGGGTGCTAAGAGTAGGGGTTGATGGCTGGCCTGTGGCAGGCCAGGGGAGAACTAAGTATAAACAGCAGTAAGGTCAAAAAGGGGTCAGGCTGTTGGAATAGAAGACTTTGGTTGTGGGGAGGAGATTCAGGGTCCCTATTCCAGGCCAGGTCAAGGCAGTGACTGTGACTGGAGGGGTGAGGTGGGAGGGGGGAGGTGGACGTAAATATGAAGGAGAGGTCAGTGGACCCTGAAAACATCCCAGCTGCACGCTGCTCCGAGTCCCCCTGGAGCCACCCCGGAGACCCCGCCCCCGTCCATGCCCCGCCCCTCACAGTGCGCTAAATTGACAGCAGCTTCAGGCCTGGTGTTTGCATACAAAGGCTAGACAGGCGTGCACGTCTTCTTGGTGAGTAGTGGTGGGCACCTGGCTCCCAGCTCACGCCCCAAAGCCGGTTCTTGGGTTGTGGGGACCCGCAAGGAGGCCATGTGGGCCGCGCGCTGTATCCCCGGGGCCTGCCTTCCCGTGGAGCGCCCAAGCTTTCAGGGACCCCATGGGGCCGGGACCGGGATGAGACTCATCCCAAGGGGCTTAGGATTCACGCTTTGCAGCCCATGGTACTGGGGTCAGGCTGGGAGGTTGACCCGGGTGCCCAAGGCAACACCTCTGCAGGGTGGCAGCGAGCTGGGAGCCCAGATTCTCGAGTTAGCCCCCCCTCCCCCGCAGGCCTCCATGCTGCTGCTTTGCGGTGTGGTGTGGTGGGCTCTGGGCCTGCAGCTCCACCAGCCTGGGCCAGGGAAAGTTTTACATGGGGGAAGGTCAGGGGAACATAGAGTGAGAAGCAGCGCTTTGGAAGTCATCTTAGATAACGGGGTTAGAGTCAGGGTGGCTGGCTGGTAATTCATGTGGCCAGTAGTTGCTGCAGATACCCACCCTCCTTGGCAGGAAACAGGGACAAAAGCCGAAAGCTGTGGGCAGGACTGGTCTGGCGACTGGGGCACACAGGGGCTTCCCATAGGATAGTGAAGTTGTGGGGAAGATGAGCCTGTAACGGTTCTTAGAGGAGTGGATGGCGACCCAGGAGGATTGAGACATGTATAGTCCATCCCTTGTTTCATACTTTGTGTTTTCTGAATGAAAGCAGGTTAGGAATGCATAATAATCAAGGACTAGCAAGAACTCCAATAAGGGAACTCTTCGGTGTCCCCAGGAAGGCTGACCAATCCCAGTGTGTTGGTTCCCCTTGTTGACAAGGCTTCCTGTTTGCTGACACTGCCGGCCTCTGCTGTCACGGGTTTAGCACCCATATGTGGGTGTGTGTTTTGGCTCTTATCCCTGCTTATACAGGGCCTAGTGGTTGGGTTGGGAAGCCTAGGTCCTGTGTTTGGTGCTGTCATGGTGGCTATGACACCTCCCATGTGACTTCCACTCTCTTTAGGAGGCAGTTGCCAAAGTTCTTATGATGCTTGTCCCTTTGTAGAGGGGGTGGCAGTGAAAGGGACAGCATGCCTGGGATAACTTGGGCTTTAGATGAAGGAGATGGGATCCTTGCTTGCTGTCCCAAATGGGGAGGTATCTGCTGGTGGGACTGAGCCAGACCTTCTGCTTATCTATCTGTTGTGCTCAGGGCTTCAGGCTAGAGAAGAGGGAAAGGTCAGGAGATGGCAAGACAGCTGACCACAGATAGCTGGAAATCCATGGGACCACAGACGTCACTTCTGAGCCTGATTATCAGTTTCAGATCTAGAGTGAGTGGGGGAAAAAAACAAAAGCAAAACCATACTTCATTTAACCTGATGCCCAAATTAATTGAGAGGCCTCAGAGCAACTTCAGACTGTTAACTTTAAGCTCAGGGTACCACTGAGAACCCTTTGTAGAGCCGGGCTAATCCTGGCTAGCTGATGCTAGCTTCTGATCCATAATTGTCTCTTGGGTTCAGGTCTGAAAGGGACCAATAATGATACTAGTTGATTTTAGCCAGTATGTAGATGGGGATGTTTATGGGGACAGGTACATTGTTCTAGGATGGCTGGTGTGGGGTTGTTGTCTTGTGCACTAATAGCCCTGGCCTTTGGAGCCTTTTGAAAAGCAAGTGATGCAGGCTGGTGGATGCTCTGCTGTACTCAAATGTCCTCATGTGAACCCAGAGCTCTTGTAGCTTGTACTGCCCCTGAACATGCTCTGTAGCCCAGGCTGAGCTTGACCTGGGTTGCCCAGGCTGATCTGGAACTCAGGATCATCTTGCCTCAGCCTCCTTAATGGATGCTGGAACCAGAGGCGTGGGCTGTCACACCCTGCCTGAAAGTGTTTTCTTATGGAACATGAGTATACCCTTCTAATCCCCCAGTGCTCATCTGATCCAGTGATGTCTCCTGGTATAAACTGAGTAAATTTAAATACTCAAAAAGTATTCTGCTGCAAGAGACTTAGACCATTATTATTATTGTTGTTATTATTATTATTATTATTTTGGAGCTGTGTGTCACCGTTGGGTCAGCAGTCCCCAGTTTTTGCCTGGAGTGTAGACTATGGAGAGAAACATTTATAGGTCATGGGTGCTGTTTAAATCACCCACCTTACAGGTTCAGAATGGAGCTGCAGTTTTCTTGGACAGGCAAGGGATATGTGACCATTACTGACTGCTGCAGGGGGGAGGTGCAGAGATGTACAGAGGTCCCAAGAGCAGAGTATTTTTGACCAAGATGTGCAACTGGCTAGAGAGCTGTCGCAAGTGTGTGAGAAGACACTGGCACTTCCAAGGAGAGCAAAGTTCCTGTGCCCTACAAGGGAGCTAACTGTTAAGGGCCGAGGTTCTGAGTCCCCATCCAGGCAGTGACGCAGAGCACAAGGGCCACATTGTGTCTTCTATGTGCCCCTCTCCTGCTGGCTAGGCCCTGGGTGCTTCTTGGCAGGGACATGAGGACACTAATTACCTGGGGTTATAATAATACCCCCTTGTTGCCAGAGTTCTGCCCTAAGAAGTTGAAGTGTCACCTAGTCGACCTTCCAGCCAGGGCAGGGACCATGTCCTAGTTGTCCCTGTCACTTGCACTTGGACAACCTTATCAGAAGCAGTAGTGTATGTGTGTGCGCACGTGTGTGTGTGTGTGTGTGTGTGTGCGCGCGCACGCGTGTGTGTTCCTGCATGACACTGCATGAGTGTGGAGGTCAGAGGATGACCTCATGGAGTCTCTTCTCTGCCCCTACCCCATGAGCTCCAGGGATTGAACTCAGGTTCTTAGGCTTACCATCTCACCAGCCCTTCACATCCCTTTTCTGCTGAGTAGTTTTCATTGGCATGGAGACCCTGAGACGGAGTGCACCTGAGTTTTCAGATTGGACATTAAAAACTGATGTGAAAGAGATACTTGTGGACAGAAGAGTCAAGGTCCCGTTCCCCCCCCCCCCCCGTGAGTATGGGTGCTTATAGAGCTTGCAACTCCTTTCCACTCATACTGTTTCATATATAATATGGGTGGTCTATAATTTATTAATCCAGGTTCTTGTCAATCTCAAAGTGACTTCTGCTCTTCCCCCATCGCAGTCAGGTCTTCTGTTACTGTCCGTCACAAAGATGGTGTTGTTTCTCGAGGCTGGTGGTGAGATGCCTCAGCAGGTAAAGGTGCCTGCTGCCAGATAGCATGACTGGGGTTTGATTTCTGGAACCCACATTCGTGGAAAGAAAGAACAAACTTTCACTCATTCATGGAAAGAAAGAAGGGACTCTCACTAGTGGTCCTCTAAAGTCCACATATGTGCTGTGGCATGTGCATGCACACGCCTGTGTGAACACACATGCTAAAAACATGATCTTTATCTGTAGACTCAATTCTTGCTGTGGAATTGCTGGGATTTGCTAACATGTGCCAAGTGGATAGTTCTTCCTGGGAGTTTGTATTGTTAATGACCAGAGCATTCAGTGTATGGTCTGTGATCCTACTCTCACTATTGGGTATTTATAGAATGTTTTGATTTGTGGCCTTAAAAATTAATCATTTTATGTATGCATGTACAGGTACATGTGTGTCCATGTGGGAGTGTCTGTGTGTATACAGGTAGGTAGGTATGTGTGTGTACATGTGTGTATGTTTGTAGATGTGTTTGCAGATGTGTGTGTGTGTGCAGAGGTGTGTGTGTGTGTGAAGGTAGGTATTTCTGTGTGCAAAGTGTGTATGTGTACAGAGGTGTGTGTGTACAGAGGTGTGTGTTGTGTGTGTGTGTAGGTATGTACAGAGGTGTGTGTGTATGTTTACAGGTGTGTGTGTAAGTATGTGTATGTGCATGTGTAGCTGGGTATGTCTTGTGTGCCTGTGTGTGTGTGTTTGCAGATGAGTCTGTGCAGGTGAGTATGTATATGTGTATATGTGCATGCGTGAGGGCCAGACATGGACCTTCCTTAGGTCCACCTTGTCTTTGAACTAGATCTCTAACTAGTTCAGTCGGATTGACTGTCCAAATGAGTCCCAGGGATTTCACCGTCTCCTCCCCAGTGCTCCCCACTCCTCCCCAGTGGCTCGAATGTGCCTGGCTTTTTTGTGGATGCTGGGATTAAACTCCAGTCCTCAGGCTTTTGAGACTCATACCTTGTGGACCTTGCCACCCGCCCCCCACTGTGCCATCTCCCAACTGCGCCACCTCTGTTTTGATTTGCTTGTCTGTGTGAATCTGGGTTGATGAACACCTTGTACATAATTGTCCAGATATCCTCTGTTGTCTTGTGAGTGCCTTGTGTTATTGCAACAAGTTTTTAGTTGAGTTGACCCGAGGCCAACCTCAAATGGCAGAGGAATTGCATTAATAAAATTGTGGGGTTAGGCGAGCTATGGCAAGGCTTTTGAATTTTGGCAGATTTAAAAAAAAAAAAAAAAAAAAGAGGAGGAAGAAAAAAAAGGATATTTCTTGGCAGTTTATGAAGCCTGGTAGTGGGTTCTGTCAATTTTGGACTAGATGTAGACTTTTCTAATGTCATAACTAGATGGGGAGTCATGAGACTTGTGGCACTTGTCAATGATGTCCCTAGGTCATGTCTGGGATGGTCTGAGGCTGGGGAGGTGGCTGTGTCAGGATTGATGTGGGAGTGTGTGTGGCCTCCATTTGCAGGTTGGGGACCTTGAAATGGGGTTCCCTTCCCCCACATAAGCATCATATCTGTCTATCTAGGAAGCTCTTACTTGGAGATAGCTTTTCAGAGAACTGAGTGTGGGTTCAGAATGCCAACCCAGAAGCCAGCTACATCTAAGGGGGGGAAAAGTGTGTATTTTATGATTCCAGAGTTCTATAGAGTCCTGGTTTGCTGTAGAGCAGTGATTCTCAACCTGTGGGTCATGACCCCTTTAGGTGGTCAAACAGTCCTATCAGAGGGGTCGTAATAGCAGATATCCTGCATTTAAGATATTAACATTATTATTTATATCAGCTGCAAAATTACAGTTATGAAGCAGCAACAAAAATAATCTTATAGTTGGGGGTCACCACAACATGAGAACTGTCTTAAAGGGTCTTAGCATTAGGAGAGTTGGGAGCCACTGCTTTAGAAAATTCCAGGCTGGTCAGAGGATCCTCTGAGAACTAACTGCTCAAGTTCTTCTCCGAAATACGCTTGAGCCAGGCACTGCAGAGTCCTGTCTCCAGCGTGCTCAACCTGCCAGGTGCAATATCTTGCCAAGTTTCAGGATGCAAGGCAGCAGACTGGAAAGCAGTCTGGTGGCCATTGTCTTCCAGCAGGTCCACCCGGGACATCAGAGCTCCTGCTTTGTTCTCTGTGTTTCCTCTGATCTCCCCTCATCCTGGAGCTTTCCAGATGCTTTCTTCTTCAAGCCAAACCTCTCCCTTTCTGCCTCCTCACGTGCTTTCAAGGAAGCTGCAAGACAAGTAATAGGATTATGGCCCTTGGCCCCCTGGGAGGCACCTCTGCCCTGGCTGGGTTGTTCTGGCTGCTTATCTTCAGGCTAATCGAATTAGCGGCGTCTCCCTCTAGTTTTTCAATGGTGGTGCAGCTGAAGGAAGTGAGATTTGGGACTTTACGTCTAGTGCTTTGATCATGTAGAACTTTTAAAGAAATGTTTGCGCAGGGCTTATTGGAAAGAGAACCTTGTATGGGGGGGGGTGTGGCAGAGAAAGAGCTCTGTCCACCCACCTTGCCTGATTTCAGCCCGACAGGTACCTGAGAGGACCTGGCTTAAACTGGCTTGTTAAAGGCCACTGTTGGTCATACGTACCTCCTGGAGGGAGCTGTCCCCTGCAGCTCAAGTCTTTCACTTACATCTTTGAGGCAGGGGGTCCCATGTAGTCCAGACTGGCCCCAAACCTAGGCTGACTTTGAAGTTCTGATTTTCCTGCCTTTACCTTGGTGGGGATTGAACCCAGGGCTTTGTGCCTGCCAGACAAATGGTGCACCAACTGTACTGCATCTCCAGTTCTTAAGTCATTTTGAAGTGTGCAGCCACTACTGCAGTCCCCCGGAACAGAAACCCTTCAACCAGAGGTCGCTCACTGCACATTTCTGTTCCCTCCCAGCTCCCGTAGCTGCCATCCTACTAGAGTCACCTCAGTGTCTTCTGAAGATAGCCCTTCCACCACCCTCACTGCCCTCCTGGCTTATCCTGCCTGTGTTGTGGCAATTTGCAGAATCCTCTCCCCTCCTTTTCTTGCACGTGTGTACATATGTGTGTGTCCATGTATGTAGGGGCCAAGTGTGGATGTTGGGTGTCATCCTCTCCCCACATTGAGGAGTGAGGTCAGAGTCTCTTGATGAACCCAGGGCTCACTGATTGGGCAAGTGTAGCTAGCCATCTTGCCTTGGGGATCCCCTTCCCTACCTCCTAAGTGCTTTTCAAGGAATCGCTGTGCTGGTTTTCTGGTAGCTGCACCATTTCCCCTTCCCACCAACAGTGCACAGACCCTCAGTTCCCTCACCTTCTTGACAGTACGCCTATATTCTTGTTAGTGGTAGTCAGCTTCATGTGTTTGTGTTACTATCATTATAAAAGCTCAGTGCCGGTTGTCTAGGCAGCCCCTGGGTCTAATTCCAAGCAGGCTGTTGTCTAGTGGGGCTTATGAACAGTGTCCTGGTGCCCACACAGAGACCTTTTTAACACCCGCACAGGTTTCTAGCAGACAGCGGCTTATGGCCATTTGCAGTAAGAGAGCACACCAGCCACACTCTTTGCTCACACAGTGGACGGTTACCCAGGGAGGGAGTCCTTAGGGTGTGCGCAGGGGAACTCCGCCTAAGACTTTCCATTTCTAGGTTTTTCCTATTAAAAAGAGCCTACTGTAGCAACAAAGCAATCGGACTTCTTCCAGCTTGGACTCTTCTGGTGTGTGCCTGGGAGGCTGCTCTCTTGAGGTCAAAGGGCAGAGTAGCCACAGGTTTCTGTGATGAAGGGTGCCTCTCTGGGATGCTGAAGCCTGAGTGGGAAAATGCCCTTATCTGCCCTTATCTCTGACCTGTTAGAACTCAAATGGGCCTTGCAGGCATCCGGGACCCTGTGCTCAATGCTTTGAATCTGGGAAGCTGGGATGCTGAGATTAGTTAACTGCCTCCCAACTTTGAGAAACTTCTTCTTTCCTACACAGTGTAAACTGAAGTCTCCCTCCACCCACAAGAGACATACCCAATATTAAAGATCCTAGAAGGCTAAACTGTTAACTGATTATAGAGAATTAGGATCTTGTTGGTCTAGAGCTGAATTATCTTGGATTACTTTTTAGTTTTCTTAGCGGCTGTTCATCGCCCACACCTTTGTCTGACTGTATTAGTTACCTTACTGTCGCTGTGCTAGAGCACCATGACCAAGATGACTTATAGGAGGAAGGGTTTATTCTGGTTTATGGTCCCGGGGGAACAAGTGTGGTGTGGCAGCAAGCTTCAGGTAAGGTGGCTGGAGCAGGAAGCGTGAGGGTTCACATTGTCAAATGCAAGCAGGAAGTGGGAAGAGTGAACTGGAGGTGTGTAAATGTCAAAGCCCACCCCCAGCAATGGTTCCATTGCCTAAACCTCTCCAAAACAGGGCCACCAACAGGCAACCACTGTTCAGATGCCCAGACTGTGGTGGTGGTGGTGGTGGTGGTGGTGGTGGTGGTGGTGGTGGTGGGGTTTCTTGTTCAAACCACCACACTGATCTAACTGCCTTTTGACTATCGGTACTTGCAAATGTATTCTACTGGCTTCCCCCAGTTCAGACGTTAAGAATGTCATATGGATAACACTGGAAACCGGTAGCAGTTTCTCTCTTTACTGCATACCCTGCTTATGTGGTCCCTGCCAGTTATTAGATAAATATCTTGATGTGAGCCTTTCTCTGTCCGGTGAGTTACAATCTCATGTAACTGTTCTAAGGGTGGCACCTGCACTCCAGGCAACCAGAAGCTGTGTTTTCGGGCAACGGTCATCTGTATTTGCTTTAGAATAAACCATCTCTTATTCCCTTTGAAGGGAGAGCTGTGTTTGCTCTGCAGTGTGGAAAGGATCAAGGTGGGTCTTAGCTGACCTGGGCTGTGGCTTCCCTGCCAACGAGCTTGGTCTGTTGTTGCTCAGCGATAAGCAGAGACCCCGTGGAAGCAGAGTGGGATTAGGGGAGGCCCCGGTGGACGTCACACGGAACTAGTGTAGAGTTGATTCAGAATCCAGTGAGCCTGCTTCTGGTCCGGCAGCTTGACGCTAAGCCCGTGACCACAGGTATTGGCTTTGTGACACTGGGACCTCCTTTTGAATTTCTTCCTGTGAAAGGCTCCTACCCACAGGGTTATTGTGAGAGGCACAGGGCTATGAGACATGACAGAAATTGTGCAAAAAACACCCTTAAAAATGCTCCCAAAAGGCTGGGGAGTTGGAAGTTTTCCTCTTTTGCTGGATACAGCCAAAGTTAAAGTCTCAAGTTGAATGTGGAGGGCGATGCTCAGTGGAAGAGTGTGAGGGCTGCACCATTGTGCTTTTTAAATTGCAGGTCTTTTTGGGAACTCCACCCCTCTGTTTTTTGTTTTATTTTGTTTTCTGAGGCAGGATCTGATGTAGCACAGGCTGGCTATGTGCTCCTGCCCCCACCTCCCATGTGTGGGGATTACAGTGATGTGTTAACCACCGGCTGATGTTTTGGTTACAGCTATATTAGTTCTCTCTCACAAGCCTATATCAGGGACTGTGTCTTTTATATGAGCCAGAGTGCCAAGTCCCGTAGGGAGGAAGTAACCAGATGTTTGCTGAGGATGGTGGGTGACTGGCTGGTTGGGCAAATGTCAGAGAATGGGTTGGGCAGGCAGGGACTGGACAGGAGCTGGTAAGAGCCATTGTCTCCCTGTTGCCTAGCATTCGTAGTGTCAATGCTAGGGAGACTTACTGATGGAAAGGTCAACAGCTATCATACTGGACCACAGACCAGTGTGCTACAGCCCTGAACTGCCGTGTGAGGTATGCCCATGACTCAGTAGCGGCGTGTCTGTGAGGAAACCAAGTGCTTGCTGATTGGGTCTGAAGTCTGCTCCATGGAGACAGCGCATGCCTAACACTGTAGCACTGGTCAAGAGCTTACAGCTAGGAAGGCCACAGGCCCTTTGGGGGAATCGACTACTGATGGACACGATTAAACTGTCTCCTAAATAGTCATGTTCATGACAATACTTTGTGTGTGTGTGTGTGTGTGTGTATGCCACTGTGAATATATGGCGATGAGGAAGACAATCTGTGGGAGTTGGTCCCCTTTCCTCCATGTAGTCCTGGGGAGTGAATTCAAGTTTTCAGTGTTGGCAAGTGTCCTTACCAACGGAACCGTTTGGCCAGCCCCTGAACAGTTAATGTTTATTCACCCACACAGGCCGGTGCAGCCCTCAGGCTAGGTCAGGGACACCTTTCAGTGTTGAGGGATAAGTGGGTGCTGAGTGCTTGGCCCTAACTGGGACATGGATGTCACCTCCTCTGAGGCCCAGGGAATGTCAGGGAAGGGGGCATGGAAGAACTGAGGGAATGGGAAGATGAGGAGTACAAAGCAGTTCCCCGTGTTGACATGCTTCGGGGGTCCTTGTGAGGTACTCCTTGCTGTTAGCCACACCAGCAAGGTGCTCTCCTTACTCCAGGGCCCCCAGCTTTCTTGTGTTTGACATCGAGACAACACTGCCAAACACAAATGTGCTAGGTCATCACATCCATAGTCATGCTGGGATGCACTGACTGAGCCTGAGCCCAGTGGTACCCTCTGTTAGGATTCCTGGGCCTCTCTGTGCCAGACCCTGTGGTGGGAAGGATGTCGGGCTTCTTGATGGAGTGGGAGAAATGGGCTGTCCCAGGGGTGCTGTGGAGGACATTCCAGAAACAAATGATGTGGGCAAAGTGTGAAAGAATGTGTACCCTACATCATTGACATTGACATGGCTGAGCACTGAGCTGGAGACTCTTGAGTGGCCGTCCCGTGTCAACTGCCCTCATGAACTTGTGTGATGCATCTTATCTCTCAGGTTCAGACGATGAATTACGTGGGGCAGTTGGCCGGCCAGGTGTTTGTGACTGTGAAGGAACTCTACAAGGGGCTGAACCCCGCCACACTGTCAGGATGCATCGACATCATCGTCATCCGCCAGCCAAATGGCAGCCTGCAGTGCTCTCCTTTTCACGTGCGCTTTGGGAAGATGGGCGTCCTGCGCTCCCGGGAGAAAGTGGTGAGGCCTGGGGGCCCTTCCCGAAGAGAAGAGCAGCATGGGGGCACTGCCCTCGGCCCTGAGCTCCCAACTCACCATTCAGGATGTCCCTTGCATAATTTAATGCTTGCCCATGACCCCATTTTTCCAGTTATGGCAAAGATGTCACGCACACCCCCTGCTCATCAAGTCGGAGGCTTAGAAGGCACCAAGGGCAGGGCAGGGCAGGGCATGGTGCTGCAAAGAGGGGAGCGCCCACTCCCTCTGTGCCTGGGGGCTGGTTCCTGCTCTCAGTTGAGGATACCAGGCAGAAACCTTACCTGCAGTCTGACCCCCCTTACCGCAAGGTGGCTGCTCAGGGGAGACTAGGTGGGCATGGTGTTTTTATGAGCTGGTCTCAGAAGTGCTATGGTGTTACTTCCATTGTATTCTACTGGTTGGGTTGTCAGTCACAAGCCTCCCTCATCCTCCAGAAGAGGGGAGTATGCATATTGGTGGACAGTGGAAGGTTCTGGAACAGCAGTGGAGATATTATAAAGGACCAGTGTAGCCATGTTTGGAAACCCAAGCTCCCTCCCTCTGTCCCCAGTGCTCAGGGCAGGTGTGCTTGGATGGGGGCCACCTACTGGGACGTGAGGTGGTTTTCCAGATTCTCATTGTGTTCTTCGTGTTCTCCCTTCAGGTGGACATAGAAATCAATGGAGAGTCTGTGGACCTGCACATGAAGTTGGGAGACAACGGAGAAGCATTTTTCGTTCAAGAGACGGACAATGATCAGGTGAGGGTGCCTGGGTGTCCAGGGTCGCTCCAGGGTATGGAGACACAGCAGGAAGGCATGAGGAGGAGGAATTCTGGGTCCTTTGTTGGGTACATGCTCTCCTTCAGAGGGGCCGAGCCAGGCAAGCAGGCAAGCAGTGTGCATGCTGAGGCCACAGAGACCCAGTCCTGGCCTGCTTCAACTGACTGGCCATTTCCAGGAGACAGAGGGGCTGACATTATACACTGGCCAAACTGGCTGGTGTAACAAATCTGAAATGACTGTGTATCCTCATTTTACTTCTGTAAGTGACAAAGTCCTTTTCAGTTTCTATTATTGTTACTATGTGTATGTGTCGTTTCTATTGCTAGAAAGAGATACCATGACCATAGCAAGGAAAACATTTAATTGGGGTGGCACCTTACAGTTCAGAGGTTCAGTCCATTATCTTCACGGCAGGGTACATGGAATGGAACATGGCAGACATGATGCAGGCAACAGGAAGTTGACTGAGACACTGGGAGGTATCCTGAGCATAGGAGACCTCAAAGGCCGCTCACACAGTGACACACTTCCTCCAACAAGGCCACAGCCACTCCAGCAAAGCCATACCTCCTAATAGTGCGAGATTATGGGGGCCAATAACGCTCAGACTATATGTGTCTGTGTATGATGTATATGCATGTGTGTACTGATGGCTATGCTGATGTATGTACGTGTGGAGGTCAGAGGGGGGGAACTGGTGTCTTTCTCAGTCATTCTCCCCCCTATTTTAGAGACAGGGTCTCTCCTGGAGCTTGCAGCTTGTTGCTTTGGTGAATCTGGCGGGTCCCTGATCTCTGGCAATCTCCCTGTCGTCGTCCCCCAATGCGCTTGTGTGGTGATGCCCAGCTGTTACACAGATGCTGAGAATCTGAACTCAAGTTCTCTTACTTCTACAGCAAGCAGTCTTCCTCATGATTTCTTGACAGTTGCATTGAGGCACACACACATCTTGGCTACCACAGGTGTGGTCCAGTGGTTTTCAGTCTGTTCATAGACACATGCAACTATCACGCTGGTCAGTTTCAGAATTACTTTAGCTACCTGAAAAATCATCTTGAACATATCACCTCTTTATAGTCAGCCAGTCTTCCAGCACCCATGCCTAAGGCAACTGCTAAGTTAATTGTGTATAAACATCCCCATGTCTCAGTTAGGGTTTCTATTGCTTCGATGAAACACCATGACCAGAGAGCAAGTTGGGGAGAAAAGGGTTTGTTTGGCTTACACTTCAACATTGCCATTCATCACTGAAGAAAGCCAGGACAGGAGCTCAAGCAGGGCGGGAATCTGTAGGCAGGAGCTGATGCAGAGGCCATGAAGGGGTGCTGCTTACTGGCTTGTTCCTCATGGTCTTCTCAGCCTGCTTTCTTATAAAGCCCACAGGGATAGCACCAACCACCGTGGACTGGCCCTTCCTCAGTGATCACTAAATGAGAAAATACCTTATAGCTGGATCTCATGGAGGCATTTCCTCAACTGAAGTTCCTTCTTCTCTGATGACTCTAGCTTGTGTCAAGCTGATTGATGCCCCAAACCAGCCAGCACACCCTATTTTGAGTTTTCATATGAACAAAATTGAGTAGGGATGCTATGTTTGTGTGTGACATCTTTCACTTTGCACAGTGCTTCAGGATTCAGTTTTGGAGCCGCACAGGTCCGAGTTTCAGTTTTGTTACTAGTGTATTTCGTATTTATGTACGCATGTGCCACAGCACATGCGGATGTCAGAGGACACCTTTCGGGAAGTGGCTCTCTCCTTCCACTCTGTGGATCCTAGAGATGAAAATGGGGCCACCAGGCTTCGCAACAGGTGCCTTACCAATTGGGCCATATTTTGGGCCTGAATTCTAGAGTTTTCAGTGGTTCAGTAGTTGGAAACACCACATTTCATCGCCTCTTGAGGGACCTTGTGGCTAGTGTGAGTAATGATGTTGTGCACGCTCCTAATCAAGTTTCTGTGAGAACGTAGGCTTGGTTCCACCCATCCCCAGTGTATGCCTAGGAGTGAAATTACTGGGTTGTGTGGTAACTTCATGTTTAATACTTTGAGGGTTTGGACTTGAGGAGATGACTCGGTGGTTTGCAAGTGCTTGCACGTGTAAGGACCTGAGTTAAGAAATGCTCAGCACTTGCCTGTACTCTAGCTTTGGGAGGGCAGAGACAGGCAAATCCAGAGACCATACCGGCTGGGCAGCCAGTTTAGCTGAAAGAGCAGCTTCAGGGTTAGTGAGAGAGATTGTGTCTCAATGCCGTATGTGGAGAGTGCCAGAGTGAGTCACCCAATGGCCTGTTTGGGCCCCCTGTGAAGCAATCTTGTGCAGGGGGTTCCTAAAGCTAAACTTAAACTGGTTCCTTAAGCACTAAAACCAGTGTCTGCAATTAGATTGCCGCAGGCTAGTGCCTCTGTTATCTACCTGAGGGAACAGCTTCTGGGCTGGGAGCCAAGGGCTGTTCCTACTTTCCTGTCTGCTGCTGCAGCCCACAGCCTTCAGGCAACTCCTGTCTAAATGGGAAGCTCCAAGTTTACTAGCTGAGATTATCATAACCTCTTCCTGCTCCTGGCTGATGCCTGCCCTGTCCTTTTAGACTCCAGGAGCCCAGGAGTTGTTTGGGGCCTGGGTGCCGCAGAGGCGATGTAGTAGGCGGCCAGCTCTGCATTTGTGGCTGCCTGGGAGCCTGCTGGAAGCTGGGACCTGCACACTGATCACTGATTGCCCCTTCCATTTGTGTCAGCTCTGCTATTCTCCCTTGCTTTCTGAGGGGTCCTGTCTGCTAGCTCACTGGCTGTGTAACTCAAAGCTGGATATGCTCTGCGGTGACAGGCTTATAGACAGACATGCCATCTAGGGCCTTTTTTTTTTTTTTTTTTTTTTAATGAGACGGGACCTCATGCTCACCTGCTCCTCTATTGAAACCCACTCACACTTATTCTGACACTCAAAATAAAAAATAAAACTGTGCTCAGGTCCCAGAAACACTGTCATATCTCTACCCTCACTTGTCTCTGCCCTGGATGTTTTAGATGAGTTGTGATGGTTTGATGTCACTGGTAATGGCCTGAGGAGTTGATGACTCTGAATGACCATCTGTCTGATGTCTCCCTGTGGCTGTGAAATGTTGGCTTTTCTTGCTGTGGCTGTCTTCCTTTGTCATGGCCCTGCTCCTCCACCTGTATTAAGGGGACTCTTGAACACCTGCCCCATTTAGGAAGTCATCCCCACGTACCTGGCCACGTCCCCCATCCTGTCGGAAGGAGCATCTCGCATGGAGAGCCAGCTGAAAAGGAACTCGGTGGATAGGATCAGATGCTTGGATTCCTCCACGGCTGCCCAGGGCCTGCCACCCAGTGACACCCCATCCACTGGATCCCTGGGGAAGAAGAGAAGGAAACGGAGGAGGAAGTCTCAGCTGGACAATCTGAAACGAGACGACAGTGTAAACACATCTGAGGATGAGGACATGTTTCCCATAGAGATGAGCTCTGACGAGGACACGGCACCAATGGATGGGGGCAGGTAAACAGTGTGGGAAGAGGACAGGGCTTCCTGTTGGAGGAGGATGTACCCCTGAATCTGTAGCTGAGGATCAATCACGTGGGCTTCTGATGACCATGCCTCTCACTCTCAAATGCTGGGATACAGGCACACACCATCAGGCTTTGTTAAATGGGGCCGGATTTGAATCTGGGTTTTATGTCTAGGCAAGTACCAGCTGGACTGTGTCTCTAGTCTTAAATGAGTTACCTTTTAAAGATGATTATCATAATTTTTTTTTTTCTGAGATAGGGTTTCTCTGTGTAGTTCTGGCTGTCCTGGAACGCACTCTGTACACCGGGCTGACTTCAAACTCATAGAGATCCACCTGCCTCCGCCTCCTAGAGTATTGGGATTAAAGGCGTGTACCACTATTGCCCAGCCATAATTTTTTTTAAAGCTTTTCATTTTTCTGTTAGGCATCTTAGACTGAATTTTTGCAGTCAGGTGGTGGACCCACTCTTGAGAGGAATAGAGAGTTGCTCTGGTTTTTTTTTTTTTTTTTTTAACTAAGACAGTTGGTCACGCCATTTCTCTTGTGGCTGATAATTTGAGCTATCTGAAATAGAATCAAGAAACAAGAATCAGCAAATGAGTATTCATGAACAAAAACATTTCCTCCGGACTTGCGATTTATTTTCTGGTGCTGGGGATCAAGCCTGTGGCATAGTGCAGGTTAAGCCATCTTTGTGTCACCGAGTCCCACCCTTCACTCCCTCATTGGCTGCCTAGAATCTGGCTATTTGATGCCTGAGTGCCAACTCTGCCTGTGGCCTTGAGGCAGACCTATAGGTGGGGAGGGTGTGTGGTCAACCCAGTGCTAAAGGTGACTGGAGCCCACACTTACTTTATGTCAAGCAAACCTTTCCGTTCTAATTTGAATTATGCCCAGATTTAATGGGCTCATCTCCTTTTATTTTTCTTATATTTTCTAAGACTGTCACAAAAAACTCTGTTTTTAGTATGTATTTTGGTGCAAAAAGCCAGTTTTGAAAACTAATTTTTAAAGGATATTTGCCGTTTCAGATTTTCATATAATTCCATGTGACTTTTGATAATTTCTATGTCTCTTTAACATAAAGAAAACACCAGGGATGGAGTGTTCCTCTGCTTCATTGTTCAGAGTAAACTACTTTTTACATATTGAGACAGGGTTCTAAGTGGCTGAAAATGACCTTGAACTTCTGAGCCTTCTGCCTCTACCTCCCAAATGCTGGGATCATAGACATAAGCCACCACACTCAAATTTTATGGTGCTGGGATTGAATTTAGGGCTCTGTGCATGCTAGGCAAACGACCGATGGAACCACATCCCCCAGTCTTCAAATGTATTTTTTTTTCCTGGCTTATACTAGAACTTGGCTGGCATCATCTCTTTCCCTAACTGCAGCCTCTAACCTACTGAGGGTACTGGGGCTATTGGCTTAGGCTGGCTACAGTGGCCTTCCTCTGTGGCTTTTAATTCCCAGCTTGGCCACAGGCACTTCCAGCAGTATCAGAAGAACAGGCTGATGCTTCTGTAGGTGTGGGATTTGTAGACTGTGCTGTAATTGCCTGAGCTCCTATCTGAGGCTAAGGGGTTCTACAGTTGTGTGCAATTCAAAGGTACACATGATTGATGATTGATGCCATTTATTTATCTGGTTAGACATGAGACATGTTCTATGTGGGTTTATTTATTTGAGTGGCAGTCTCCCTGCATGTGGCATTCTTCTGGAACATCTTCATCCAGTTCTGATTGACCGGTCTCTCAGGCTGGTGAGGGGTCATGTGAAAGGTGACAGCAAGATGCTGCAGCTGTGGTCGCCAGGTGTGGTAGCACATACCAGGGAGCCCAGAGCCGGGGAGACCTAGGCAGGAGGATCACCAGCCTGGGTGACTTAATGAATCCCTATCTCTAAATATGCAAACTAGGCAGTAGGTCAGTAAGCTCAGTGGTAGAGTGCTTGCCTACCATGTGTGAGTCCTGGGTTCTATCCCCAGCAACACACACACACACACTTATAGTAGCAAACACACATGTGAAGATGCTACAGGAGTACACAAACACTTTTGAGAATGCTATAGTGGCACACACATATACACACCAGAGGATGTGTGCCACCAGAGGTACATACGCTTGAGGATGCTACAGTAGTATATGTACACACTTGAGGATGCTACGTATATGTACATACTTCATGATGCTACAGTGGTGCGTACACACCTGTTGCTATGGTGGTGCATGTACATGCTTGAGGATGCTACAGTGGTACACACACATGCTTGGTTCTTCATTGGTGTGCTCATTGTGTTCATGCTCTGGTGAAATCATTGTAAGTTTATAGTCTACCCAGGACAGATACACACACACACACACACACACACACACACACACACACACACAGAGAGAGAGAGAGAGAGAGAGATTTTACCTTTTCCATTTCAATCTTCAGTTTCTAGGTAATTTTTTGACTTTTTGTTTTAATCTCTCTAGAACCCTTCCTAATGATGTACCACCATTCCAAGATGATATTCCTAAGGAAAATCTCACCTCAATTCCACCGTATCCCCAATCAGCATCATACCCCAATTCAGACAGAGAATGGTCCCCCAGCCCCAGGTAAGTTGCTGATGTGTGTCAGAGGTTGCCTTTTCTGGTCCAGACCATTTAGAAGTTGCATGCCTAAGAAAATAGTGAAATAGAGATGAAAACTAAAACCATTAGGGATCAGAAGATCGTCAGAGTATGTGGGGATTAAATATGGAAGGGGAGCAAATCTCAGACTGGCACTGATCTTTAGATGCCACGAGCAGACATGTTGTAAGGTTCTGTGGGGAAGGCATAACAGGAGGGAAGAAAAAGACTGCTGAGTTACCCAATGCCTGATGGCAGCAGGAGAGGCAGCATGGCCAACCTGGCTTTGAAGTTCAAATGTAGGGACATTGCTGCAGGGGGCCTCTGACGTCATTCAGGACTGTGCAGGGGATGCTGGTGTACAGCTAATCCACACTGCTGGATTCAGGACCACATGCTTCCCTGAAATGCCCTCTCTACTTGTCCTGGAGTGCCCACGTGAACCTGAGAATCGAGCTGCAACTGCGTAGAATACAAGTGCCCTTCCCAAAGACTGCAGGCACTCTCTGAGCCACACTACCTAGCCTATGAGAGTAGGACAGCCTTCAGAGTGGTTTTACCCAGAACCCAGGAAGGACACGGGTTTAAATCTCGTGTTTTCCATGGGACAGGCTCACCCCATCCCAGGGTGAAAATTGGTTGTTTTTTGGGTGGCAGACAAATCCTGGGCATGGTAATGGTCTGTGGTCCCTAAGGGGCCACAGCTTTAAATGTCACTGCAGGTGGAGGACAGGTTGTTAACTGGCTCAAGGTGCTTGGGGATGTGGAGACAGTGGAAAAGAAGCCAAGAAATGCGTTGGCTCTGGCAGCCTTGGACTGTTCCACCTGATGCTGTAGCTTTACCTGTAGTTTAGAATGAAAGTGCTCACACACTGTGACTGTGGCATGGGCTGCCAGCCTTGCCAAAGCACCCTCATTGGTTCGAGTTTGCTCAGCATCACCTTGAGAATGAGACAACCACAGTCAGCAGCCTGGGCTGAAATGTAATGTGTCCCCTGCCTGATTCTAGCTGATAATGACAGGAAATGTTGGTCTACCAAGGGATGGGGGCCTACCTGCCTAGATATCAGCCCTTCCATTAGGTACCTGATCCTTGGCTACATGTATATAGTTTAAATGTTTTCAGCTAGACGTCTGCCTTGTTTTAATTTCTTTTCCTGTTGCTTCATAAAATAACCCGACAAGGAAGAAACTTAAGGGGAAAACAGTTTGTTCTGGATCGTAGTTCAAGGGTCCAGTATGTCATGGCAGGGAGGTCAAGGCAGAACTTGAGGCAGCTGGTCACATGGCATCCACCATCTGGCAGCAGAGAGAGAGATGAATGCATGCCATCGCTCTGCCCCCTTTTTCCATTCATAGAGTCCAGGATCCCATAGGGAATGGTACCAGCTGCAGTAGGGTCTTCCTATCCCAGTTGATCAAATCAAAATAATCCTCCACAGTCATGTCCAGGAGCCCATCTCCCAGGTCATTATAGATCATGGTAAGCTGGCAGTTAACACTTAGCCACCACATGTGCTTCAAAGAGTTTTTAAAATTGGTGTCATTGGGGCTGGAGAAATTGCTCCAAGGTGAAGACTGCTTGTTGCTCTTCTAGAGGACTTGAGTTTGATTCTCAAAACACATGAGGTACCTCACAACTGCCTTCTTGTGGATCCCATGCCTTCTTGTGGTCTCTGTGGACACCTGTATATGCATGAGACACATACACACACACACACAAATAAAATAAACCTTTATGGAAACATGAACATAACTTCAAATGTACATTTCATTTGACCCATATTTGTAGACTAGTCCGTTTAAAAACATTAATGAAATATTTCAAGCTGGGCAGTGCTGGTACACAAATTCCAGCACTCAGGAGGCTGAGGCAGGCAGATCTCTGAGTTTGAGGTCAGCCTGGTCTACAGAGTGAGCTCCAGAGCAGCCAGGGCTACACAGAGAAACCCTGTCACAATAAACAAAACAAAACAAAACAAATCAAAACAAAAGGACCCCAGGCAAAAATGAAAACATCAATGTGATGTTTATAGTAAGTCTTTAAGGGCAGTGACTCACTCTTTGTCCCCAGCATTTGTCAGTTTCACCTGGTCACATGTCAGCAGTGGTTCACTGTGCAGGACAGGACATCCCTAAGATGCCTGACCCCTATGAGGAGAAAACAGTGATTTGGGAAGGAAATGGTACAGAAACCGCTAATCAATTGAAAAACCTATTCATTAAGCCAAAGAATGTAAACGGAATGTTTTAAAACAGCAAAGACAATGTCTGTCTGTCTTGTTTGTTTCATGAGTCCAGGATACCGATAGCATCAGATTTGTGACTGCTGTCAAATGGATTACACATTAGGTTAAGTAGATAGTTATGTCCACACCCAGAATGATGTGTTTTTATTAAGGAGATGATAGACAGAACCCATGTTCATGTCTTTAGATTATGTAGTTTGATTCAGTGCCCAGCTTCAGCCAGACCTGAGTGATCTTGTCTTGGCTAAGGGCACAGAATGAAAGGGGGAGAAGCCAGATGGGTCTTTTGGCGTCTTCCCATCTTTGCAGACCAGAAAGTTGATGCTGAGGGCTGGGGTAGTAGCTCAGGTTAGTGGAGTGCTTGCCTAGCACACATGAAGTCCTGGCTTCACGCCCCATCACAGGGTAAAATCAGGCACAGAGGTCTATGCTTGTGACCCCACCCCCACCCCGCACTTGGGAAGTGGAGGAATGAGGAACAAGAGTTCAAGGTCATCCTCAGCCACGTAGCCAGTTTGAGGTCAGCCTGGGTAACAGGAGACTCTGTTTCAAAACAAAGCATGATTTCCTCCTGATCTCAACATAGACGTTCCTTTTGCTGATTAACAGCTGAATGGTTTCATTTCTTAGAATTGTTACTGGTGAGAGCAGGAGAAACGGGATAGGAAATTGCAATGAACTGACCTGTAATTTTTTTCTTTCTTTTTTTTTTTTTGTGTATGTTTCGGTGCCTCCAGAAGCCTGGTAGATTGCCAGAGGATTCCCCCTCACCTTGCAGTAGTGGCCGAGGGAGTTCTTTCTAGCTCTTGCCCTCCACAGTCTTCCCACTTCCTCCATGCTTCGGAAAGGTAGACCAGTTCTCATGGAAGCCTTGATCTAACCTCTAAGCCTTACCTTAACCCAGTGATTTGTGAACAACTTATTGACAGATGATAATATCACATAGAAATTTCGATTTAACATTTAAAATCAATTTTACTCACTAACCAACTTACTTATGAAAAAATATGTACTTCCTTCCACTGTAAGCCATACGTTATTAGACATGTCTATTTTATTTTAAAGATTATTTCCTTTCATGGGTATGAATGCGTGCCTGCATGTATGCTCATGTACCATGTGCATGCAGTGCCCCCAGAGGCCAGAAGAGGGAGGGTGACAGGTCCCTGGAACTAGAGTTGCAAAGGATTGTGAGTTGCCTTGTGGGTGCTAGGAATTGAAGCTGGGTCCTCTGGAAGAGCAGAATGTGCTCTTGACCCCTGAGTCCTGGTTTGGCTTGTTGAAAATCCCTCTAGTGGCCTCTCCTGTCTTGCTGCCCGACTCTCTGGGTGGCCTTGAAAACCAGGACAAGGAACTTGAGACTGAGGTACAATCTTTCCTGTGGTGGGTCACTTGACAGACAAGTCTACAAGCTATTTTTAGAATGCCACTTTAGTAGATAAGTCAAGCCACTTACTATAAATATTTAAACAGTCTATTAGGTCTATTAGGCTGTCTATATACTGATTCAGACATTCTTCCCAGTATTTCTAGACTGGAAATTAGAAGAATGGCTTTAGGACAGGCTTTATGGTGTGGGTGTCTGAGATTTCTCCTCTCATTCCTCAGTATTTGCTAACTTTGTGGGCATTCCTCATCTACTTTTAAATTTTCATGGTCAGCACTGATTAAGTTCTATTACTCTATCAGAGTAAGCACTGATCCCTCCCACCCAAAAAAAAAAAAAAAGTCCTGTTTTTTTTTTTTTTTTTTTTTAAGCAGCATCTCACTAAAGTAGCCCTGGCTGGCCTAGAACTTGCTATGTAGACAAGGCTGGCTTGGAATTCAAAGAGATCTGCCTGCCTCTACCTCTTGAGTACTGGGGTTAGAGATGTGCACTGCCACGCCTACCTCTTTCCCCACTGTGGCTTAAAAGTATTTTTATTTTTAAGTGTGTGTGTGTGTGTGTGTGTGTGTGTGTGTGTGTGTGTTGTAGGGTTCCATTGTAGAATTTATCACGGTATGATGTACTCGGAACCTCATCCCCACAGACAGGTCTAGAAATGATGTATGCTTGTGTTGAGAAAGTCAATGGTCAGCACATGCCAAGGGAAATGGGGTTCTGTACATCCCTGTGAAATGAGGGTCAAAGGACCAGTAGTCTGAGTTCTTGGAAGCATCAGGGCCAGGCTAGCAATGTAGAGAACCTCTCAAATAGCTACAAGTTACACATGGCCATGGTGTTGGATGCACTACCAAGGGCTTTTTGCTGGTGGCAACAGGAAACGCCATCTTGAGTTAGCGGTAGAACTTGACTTAGATAAGCGAGACTTGGTGTGGCTGTGGTGTGTGTGCGTGAGTGTGTGAGTGTGTGTGTGTGAGTGTGTGTGTGTGTGTGTGTGTGTGGTGGGGTAGGGGTGGGAGTGGGTGGGGAGGTGAGAGGAAGGGGTGGGGTTGGAGGTGAGGAGAGGGGTGGGGGGGACTGTCTGTGGAGAAGCTGTTTCCTGCTTTATGTAAAAGGGCTTTTGAGGAAGTGGTGTGGGAGAATACAGAGAAAGGAAACTTCGAGGCCACTTCTTCCTGCCTCTCATCTTGGTGTCTGAGAAAGTGGACCCAAGTTGCTTCTTTCGGCCCATTACTTTATCTGGATAGACATAGGACTTGGTTCAAGTGTTAGAAAAATGTGCAGTGTGGAAGGGAGACGCATTGCCATCACTTAGAAGCTGGCCTGAGACTGAGCAGTGTGGTGGGTTGACACAGAAAGCCTTTTCATGTGTCCCTGGAGACAGCTGCCTCATGATGCAGTGTAATGAAGTTGGCACGAAAGATGTTTTCCCTGTTCTCAAAGCCAGGGTTTAAACCTGGGGTGCAGTGTCAGCTGGCCAGTACCCTGCTGCACCCACCTGAAAGAAAGCTGAGATGCTTGCTAGGGAAAAGGGATCACAGTGGGAAGCCAGGTGTGCCATAGGCCAGCAGTTTATACCCAAGAGCCCCTGCCCTGCTTTTTCTCTCTCTGCCTCTCTGATTCCTCCTCCTTCTCCTCCTCCTCTTCCTCCTCCTCCTCTTCTTTTATTCTTTGAGTGTCAAGTTCTGATTCTATCCCCCAGCCCCTCTCAAATTATAGCTCCTTCCTTTTTCTTAATGCCCTTCATTTTGGCTCCAAGGCTGGTTACCTTATTGGACTTGGTGCACATTGACCTCTGGTGGCCAAAGGAAGGGTTGTCAGAAGGTAAAGGCCCCAGAAATTTTCTGGGTTGCTAGAACCATGACTCTGGGACAAAAACAATGGTTCTTTTCTCGTTCAAATGATGGGTTTGTGTTTTCTTAAGTCCCTCAGGCTCCCGTCCCTCCACACCCAAGAGTGATTCTGAGTTGGTCAGTAAGTCTTCGGACAGGTCAACACCAAAGAATAATCTGGAAATGCTCTGGCTTTGGGGTGAATTGCCGCAGGCTGCCAAGGTAAAAGCCTTTAAAACTCAGTTCTGTGGCACACTCAGAATGTCTGAGTCAGCTCCAACATTCGTCTGTTTCTCTTCTTTCTTACAGTCTTCTATCCCACACAAGATGAAGGACTCCAGCCCCTTAGGGAACAGGAAGATCCCCGATAAAATTCATTTTCAGGCCATTCACAGTGAGTCTTCAGACACTTTTAGTGACCAGTCACCAACCCTGGCCCAGGGGCCACTGGTGGACCAGAGCAAGGCTCAGATAGAGATGCAGTTTGTGAACGAGGAGGACCTCGAGGCCTTAGGAGCTGCGGCCCCACCTTTACCTGAGGCAGAAGAGCTCAAGCCCCCAGCTGCCAGCACAGCACAGACAACAAGCAAGACAGATTCCCCTTCCAGGAAGAAAGGTATGGGGCTGACCCCGAGGCTCCCAGCTTACTCCCAGGCATGTTGGCCCACTGTAGACACTGCTCCTTCACCCAAGGTGTCAAATAAATCAGCAAAGACCCCCATCCATGAATCTGTCCTGTCCAATCTCTAATCTGTGCCTAGTGAGGAGCTTGAGTGTCCCTTGTCTAGTGTGGGGCCAGACATGGTTAGTGTTGTTAGAGGTCTTTCTATATTTCCCTGACCATGTCAGTGACAGTGTAGCTGATCCCCAACCTGGTTAGCCAGGCAGCTTGGTGCAACACTGTGGGTTTGTAAGAAACCAGCTACACAGCTCTCAGTAAGGAGTGGAGAGGAAATCTCTGGGCGTGGTGTGCAGGGACCCATCATGCACCTGTTGGGATGCTGTGCCCTGGAGGGTCAGGAGGGGAGGTATTCAGGAAAGGATTTGTCATCCACAACTAATAATTATGGTGATCATGGCATCAGCTTTAGTGTGGAGGGCTTGGAACCCCACAACTAATAATTACAGCAATCATGGCTGCAGCTTCAGTATGGAGGGCTTGGAACCTGTCAGGCCCTCTGTGGATGAGGGCTGAGTGCTCGATTCCTGCTGGGCCAGGTGGAAGGGAGTGCTGGACCCTGCCAGTTGTGCAGGGATGTGCTTGCTGGCTTCTCTCCGTGGGGCTCTTGGGCTAGGGGCAGCCATGGTAACCAGGAAGCAGATCTGCGCTTTGGGCTCTCGTGCTGTTCCTGAAGATGGAAACTCATGAGTTGGTGTCTGACACTCTCATGCACTCTTTCAGATAAACGAAGTCGACACCTCGGAGCTGATGGCGTTTATCTGGATGACCTCACAGACATGGACCCTGAAGTGGCAGCCCTGTACTTCCCCAAGAAGTAAAAGTTGATCTCATTCCCCAGACAGCTTTATGTTTTGATTTTCAAGATAGGGTCTCAGTATGTAGTCTAGGGTATCCTTGAACTTGTGGTGGCCCTCCTGCCTCAGTGTCTTGATTGCTAGGAGTGCAGGGTCAAGCCATGACATCTGACCCTGATGCCATTTTCTATAGAGGAGCCCAGGTTACCTTGGATGATCAGTGGGGCAGCAGGGACACCCAAGATTCACATTTAACCTGTGCACAGCCTGGGCTCTGTGTGCTGTGTAAGGGTCTCTCTTTCTCTCTCTCTCTCTCTCTCTCTCTCTCTCTCTCTCTCTCTCTCTCTCTCTCTCTGTCTCTGTGTGTGTGTGTGTGTGTGTGTGTGTGTGTTTGGGTGGAGGCAGATGGACATGAGACTGCCCTCAGCCCTCTTTATAGGAATGTGGGCTCAAGGCTATCTCATGAAGGTGCCTGAGGCTGGGTTTCTGTGACCAGTGGCCCATGATCCAAGTGAGAGAGACCTTTGCATGTTCCTCCCTGGAGGGATTCACATTCAGTCCTTGGTAACCCAGCCTTATCTCCCTTGGGATATAGGGAGGGCTAGTGTCAGTGGGTAACAGTGGCCTCCCAAGCGCACTCTGTCTCTGGGGTTCTCTTCATGTGGTGTTAGAGTGTCACAGGAGACTATGACAGGCCCTCCCGAGGTGGGTCATTTGACTTTGCCGTTGGTACCAATGGGAAAGCTGCCCCGAGGCAACTGTAGTTGCTTCTCTGAGGTGGTGCAGCTTTCTGTGGGGGGAAGGGGTCATTCGATGCAATGGTTGGACCGAGGATGCCGGGGTGCTCAGAACAATCTCTCTTTTCCTCCTTTCAGTGGAGATCCTGCTGGACTCCCCAAACAAGCCTGTGACATCGGAGCCAGGTCAGCCAACCAGTCCCCACAGTCCGTGGGCAGTTCGGGCATCGACAGTGGTGTGGAGAGCACCTCGGATGGCCTGAGGGACCTGCCATCCATAGCCATCTCCCTCTGTGGTGGCCTCAGTGACCACAGAGACATCACCAAAGGTACTAGGCTGAACAGGACAGCACCCTCTAGTGGCCGCTGGTCAGAAGGCCCCGGAGCTGAGGCTGGTCTAGCTCATGCTTATGGTTGATGTTAGCTCTCTGGCCGCTGGTTGCAGTTAGCTGTTTTCAGAATGCAAGGACAGGGTGCAAGGACCTTCAGACAGCAAGAAGGCTCTTGGGGGCGTTTATCCTCAGAGGTGATCATGTAGCACTATTGGTTGTCCCTGTGCCCAGGGGCAGCCCTGAAGAATGCTCATGGTGAGTCTGCAGGTGTGGGGAGTGTGGTGGGGTAGGATGGGGCGGATTCGACCCATCAGTCCTTCCTGGAATGGAGCATTGGGAGTGTGTGTGAAATCTCTGGGGCTGTAGAGGGCAGAAAGGAGGTTGAGTCAGTTTGAGGAATTCTCGAATTTTTCCCCACTGAGTTCTAGAGGCTGCCATGCTGGAAGGCCTTGGTGACTTAGGCATACCACCTGCTGTACTGGCAAGTGACGGCTGAATAACTTGTGACAGGTCCACGGTGAGCCGTGCCTGAGACCCCTGGCTGGTAGAACAGCAGCTGTTGTCTGTTGAATTCTTGAACCATACTTAATTTCTCTCCACCACCCTCCACCCCAACCCAGCGCTTTCTCTGCATTTCTAGCAGGAGGTGGTGATGCTCTTATCGACCACACTATGTCCTCTTCCCGCTCCAGTGACCACTGGGAAGTCCCTCCTAGGCTTTTCAGACTTCTTATGCACAGACTGGTTCCTCTTATTCTGGCCTGGGAGGCCACCCTCCCTTCCTAGAAACTCGATCCTTTTACCCTTTGCATCTTCTAGGACCACAGCTCTGAGCACTGTGTCTATTATATTCCCCAGCTGTGATGGGGTAGTGTGCTCCCTCACCCACTAGAGGAGCGGGGAGTCTGGTAATTTACTGACACCGCCCTCCCACCGTGTGTGCACAATGGGGTGGTGGTGGGAATTCAGAGGCCCTGCATTGTTAGATGTGGCTGGAAGCTCCAGAGAGAGCACTTTGGTCCTCTGTCATGATCCTCAGGAGGCCATTCTGGGTTGACAGGACCAGGGGACACTTTTCTCCCTGACAGGACTGATCTTCTGTGTCTGCTGTCTTCTAGGTCTTGGTTCCACCTAGAGCTTTAGGATTCCCCAGGGAAGGAATGTGTGTGGGTGCCCCCCAGTGAGACTGAGCTCTCCTCAGAGGCCAGCACATGGCCCCGCTGAGTAGGGGATGCTAAGGGAAGTCAGTGTTGGCCAGAGACACTCATCTGTGGTCCAGGGCTACAGACTTCCTGCCTGGAGGGCCTGCTCTGAGCTTGGTGAGGCTGCCCTCTTTATGGATGATGGAGGGGGATGGGCATGGGCAGCACCAGGCCCTATACTGCACTGATCCCTGCCAGGGTATTGCAGCTGCTGACAATGATCAAGCCCTCACTTTGGGCAGGGTGCTGACTGCCCTCTGGGAAGTGGCCATGATCATCATGCTTATGCTAGTGATGGTGGGTGGGAGAGGAGGGAGGTGGTGGTGGCATCCAGCCGCTTGTCCCAGGTCTGCACAATGGTAAACACGACTCTGCTGCCCACAGTCTCCATGTCCCATGTGTTCTTTGATGTCTTAAGAGAACCCCCCTTACACCTGCAAAAACAACAATAGCAAAACAACAGCAAAAGCCCCAGGCTCAAGCTCCCTCTTCACAAGTGCATTTGTAGGATCTGTAGGATTGCCTGATGAACTGCAATTCATAAACTCTCAGGTAAACACTTGAGAATGAGCAAGCTGAAAACTGGCCTGTTTTTAAAAAAACACTCTATGATTTCTCTCTCCCCGGTCCTACTGCTGCCACCCGCCACAGATGCATTTTTGGAACAAGCCGTGTCATATCAGCAGTTTGCTGACAACCCCGCCATCATCGATGACCCCAATCTTGTGGTCAAGATTGGTAATAAGTAAGTTCCTGCTGACAGTCCTTTTGGTAGTGGGAAGGTACTGTTTCTGTCAAGCCTTAATGAAGTCTTGTCAAACTTAATTATTGTCCTTCATTGTTTGTAAAATTCTATGTCCCCATGCAGCTGCTGGGCTGAGAGAATTGACAGTCTTGTGGAGTATGTGTGTGTGTGTGTTCAGTGTACATGGTGTGTATACGTGCATATATGTATACATGGGGAGGCCAGAGATCCACATTGTATTTGATCACTCTACCTTTTTTTTTTTTTGCTTTCTGAGGCAGGGTCTCTCTATGTAGCCCTGGCTGTCCTGGAACTATGTAGACCATGTTGGCTTCAAACTCACTGAGATCCACCTGTTTGAGCCTCTCTAGTGGCTAGGATTAAAGGTGTTTCCCACAGTGCCTGGTCCTCTACTTTAGTTTTTGAGACAGGGTGTCCCACTGAACTGTAATGTGCTGGTTTGGCTTAGCTGGCAGACAGGCAAGTCCTAGGAATCCTCCTGCCTCCACCTCCCAGCACTGGACTTACAGGTCTGTGCCACAGGCCTGCCTTTTGAGTGTGGGTGCTGGGGATCTGAATTCATCTGGGGATTTGAAATCTCCATGGCAGGCACCACATCTGGGGTTCTGAAATCTCGATGGCAGGCACTGCATCTACTGAGGTGGCTTTCTGGCTCCACTTTGTGGGTGTTAATATGTTCCTGTACCAGACCTTGAAAGTGACCATGTCAGGTGTGGTGCTTGGACTGTGGGCCTCTGAACCTGTCTAGTCCTAGGCCTAAGGGTACAGCTGCCATTTAGCATAGAGACATCACCATATGAGCTTAATCTGTGGTGTGCAGTGGGCTCTGAAGACTGCTGTAGACTTTCCTCACAGAGAGGGTGTTGCAAGTCCTGCCTCACTCTCCTGACACTGTCTCTTCATCTTGTTAGGTATTACAACTGGACAACAGCAGCTCCTCTGCTGTTGGCGATGCAGGCCTTCCAGAAACCTTTGCCAAAGGTGAGCGCTAACACGATTAAGAAAAGGGGTCCAGTCGGAACAGGTTAATGGGAGAGTCACGGTTTGATTTGACTTGAGAAACCAAAGTCCATGATGTCCTGATGCTCACGAGGACCCATATCAGTATTACAGATCTCTCTCTCTCTCTCTCTGTTTTTCTTTCTCATAAGCATTGATCACCAGGGCAAGTCTCAAAATTCATGGTGTTGTAGGCCCACGAGCCCACTCCTACCATGTCCCGTGCTGGGATTATAAGTCGGCAGAGAGGGGCAGACACCAGAGTGCAGAACCAAGTGAGGATGAGGAGAGAAAGTTTAGCTGTGGAAGACTGGGAGCCACCATTGGGTCAGATGCAGGAAGACTGGGAGCCACCATTGGGTCAGATGCAGGAAGACTGGGAGCCACCATTGGGTCACTGTCTTAGGGCATTGCTAGGAAGCCAGTCCTGTGCCTGGTTCACTGAGGCAGGGGTGAGGATGAGGAGGCAGGGGTGAGGATGAGGAGGCAGGGGTGAGGATGAGGAGGCAGGGGTGAGGATGAGGAGGCAGGGGTGAGGATGAGGAGGCAGGGGTAAGGATGAGGGAGGCATGGATGAGTATGGGGGAGGCAGGGGTGTTAAGGCTGAGGATGGGGAGGCAAGAGTGAGGGTGAGGAAGTGCAGGGGTGAGGATGGGGAGGTAGGGGTGAGAATGGGGAGACAGGGGTGAGACTGTGGCTTGCGTAGCTCAGGGCCTGCATGTGAACAGGGTGGCTATAAGGCAGAGGTAAAGGAGGAAGTCATACCCGCCAGTCATAGAGTGTTCATCTTCTTCTCTGCTTGCCTGGAATTGCTTGTTTCTTCCGCATTGCATCTTCCTTCTATAGCCTGGGCACCATCGTTGGACCACAGAGTCCCAGTTTTAGATTGGCTTTGCTTGGTGGCCATGGCTGTTGCAGTCTGTCAGGTAGTTCCAGAGTGTGAGGTTCTTGGAGGTCCAGTCTCACTTTGTTTAGTCTGGGCTTGCCTCTTCAAGGTCATGTGTGTGCTGTAGTTTGGGGATGGGACCTTGTGTTTGGTAGCCCTTTCTCATATTTGTGGACTGGGCCAAGGCATGGTCTGTAAAATGATTTTTGCTGTGCTCCTGCCTCATTTCTCCCTGTATCCATAGCCCAGAATATGGTTTTTAAGGCTTTCAAAGTATCAATGAGAAAACGACTAAATGTGGTGGAGATGTGGCTCACAGAGGAGGAGGCACAGGAGGCCATAGAACAGCATGGTCCTCAGGGCTGTGATCTAGGGGGTAGTGGTCTGGGTGATTCTCTAACATGGACATGATTGTCTGTGTAGCATTAGTCTTTATATTATACATAGCTAGCACGTTTAAAATGGTCTTGTGTCTTCAGTTGTAAAATACCCTGCATTTTCTTCTAGTCCTTCCTTTTATTTTAAATCTTTGATCCATATGTATTTTATCTTGAGAGTAATTGAGGGAGATTTGGGGGCTCAAGTCCACCCCCTCCCCCATGGTTACTGAATCAGGACCCTTACTGAGCTTAAATCATGGATCTAGTGTCTTATGTGACAGTGTAGGTGACAGTTGGTGGGTAGCATGAGTGCTCTACGTGCTCCCCACATCCCGAACACAATAACAACATCTAGAGTAGGAAGGGCGGTGGCAGGATAGTCTTCAGGTCTCACTGCCCACAGTTTGATCTCTTCTAAACTGGGTCTTGCAGAGCCATGGGATGACCATGGATGATGCAGTCCAAGTAGGTTTTGTCCCTGGAACTGAGTCCACCTCCCCTGAAAGGGTCCCCAAGCATGTGACAACCTGCTTCTGGACCACAGTTTGAGGTCCAGAACAGTTGAGAATCACCTCAGGATCGCCCCTGTGTCCCATGTTTGGTGGCTTTCTTCTTGATGGTTGGTGCCTGGTGCTGGTTGCTCCGTTTATCTATACATTTAGGCTACTTTATTCATCTGAACTTTGGATTTTCTGTTCCAGGGATGTGTTTGTTCATGAACCAACACTGAGATTTTTTTAGATTGATGTATATTTAACACCCTGCAGGACTGGCGCCTACTTACCTTAATCCTGTTGGATGGTTTTCTTTGCTGTTTTTGTTTGTTGATTCTTTAAAAGAACCTTAGACTCCATCTGGGGCTTGTTGTTTGTAGATGAATTTCATGGAGGAGGAGGAGAAGAATAGGCAATAGATTTGTGTATTGTGTTGTTTCAGAACATTGTATGCATAGTTTGTCTTTTAATGGGCTCCGTTTGTTTTCATTGTCAGTTGAAGATCTTTTAAATATTAATTGTGTACTTGAGTCTAAACCTGTGAATCATTTGTCTATCTACCTGTACCTATAAGGATGAAAGACTAAGTCATTCTTCACTAGCTGAGGTAATAGTTACTTATAATCGGTCTAAATGGAGGGTGGAAAATCGGAAAATCAGACATTTGCCTGAGCCCCAAATAGACAAAAGACAGACGTTATTCTTTGGAAATGTTTATAAAATTACTATTTCATATTTAATCTCCCCTATCAAACTTTGAAATATTCAAGATGTCCATATGAATTTTATTTTTAACCCTTGATTTTTAAATCAGTCTGCTAAAATTTAGTTGGTTAAGCTTTGGAAAGTTATTTACTAAAAAAGAAAGCCTGTATATTTTGACTCTTGTTTACAGCTGTTGGATCCTGTACCAACCATAGCCATCATTTCTTTTTCTTTTCCTGTTTCATTTTGTAGTCATCATATTGAGGCTAACAGCATCATAAACAGTCATTTTACTTTGAAAACTTAAGATCTACTAACCACTAATGATTTCTAATGCTTTCTTTTCCTGTTGTTGTTGTGTTGTATTTTGTTTGTTGTTTGTTGGTTCTTTTCCCATCTTCTTAAGTCTTCCTGCCTCAGTTACCTTCACGTGATTTTGGACGCCATTAGGTTTTGCCTTTCTAAAATTTTCAGTCCACCCACAGTATGTCGCGTTACATTTTTATTTATTTATTTATTTTTCCGTCTCCTCCTTTGATTTGCAAGTACATTTTCTTTTGTATTGAGTATGCTAAGTTGATTTTTTTTTTTTTTTTTTGGTTCCATTATTTATGTTACCATCCATTTAAAACAGGCTACTGTGGAATCCATCATGAGAGATAAGATGCCCAAAAAGGGAGGAAGATGGTGGTTTTCCTGGAGGGGAAGAAACGCCACAATCAAGGAGGTAAGCAGGGAGCGTGGTGTGGCAGTCGTACCGAGTGTGTTTTGGTTTTATGTTGTCAGGTTTGCTTCCATTGGTTTGTGTGAGTGAAATAAACTCCATAATCCTGGTTTCGGTGAACTGGCCCTACAGAAAGAGGACAGGGACAGAAGGTGGCCAAGAAGAAGACCCAGGTTGTGGAGCTGTTTTCCCACTCTGGGGTTACTGTGTCAGTAGAAAGAAGCACTAGGTATGAATGAGTCTTCTTGCTGGCACAGAGCACCTGACCGCTAAGGGAGGCAGAGAATGTGGCTCACAGATAGAGAGCATGGCCCATGAAGGGAGAGACTTGAAGCAATGCCCACATTCAGGGTGGGTTGCAAGATTTTAAAGAACCTGACTCGGATCCTGTCATGTTGACAATAATATCCATCCCATCACAGAAGGGTTTCAACATGGCTTATGTTGATGAGGACAACATACTGAGTCCGCCATGGCTGTTGACTAAGCCTCTTGAGCCACATCTCTGAAGGCTCAGGTCTCATACATGAGAATGTGTGTGCCAGCTCCCTGATTTGTCAGGCCTCCTTCCACCTCCCAGCTCCTGTCCTGAGCACTTACCCTGCCTGGCCTCCAGCTCAGTGCCCTCCAGGCTTTTCTCAAGCCCTCTCCTCCCCTGGCCAGCCCCTCAGTGGATTGTAGGTCCCTCTTTCCGACTTTCACCTCTTGGTTTTTCCTGATCATCCACTCCAGTCCTCATTTCCAAACCAGACAAGCCAGACAGTTGTTTGCAGTCCACACCAGTTCATTACTTAGCCAGAGAAACAGAAGCTTCAAGGCACGGAGTCAGAGTTGCTCTCAGGCACACTTGGGGTTTTCCTTTTGTTGAAAGAGTGAGCAGGGAAGGGCTCCACTGTCTCTCTATGGCTGGACATGGCCCTTATTCAGACTCCCTCCATGGAGGCCTTTGAGGCTGCAGATTCAGTGTTGTTCCAAGTTGAATGTTTCCCCTTAGCTCCTCTCCCGCCAGTCCAGGGCTGCATATGGAGTCCATCCTTGACCCCTCTTTCTCATTCTCTGTATTGAAGTTGGATCCTAATTTATGTTGCCCCTTGCTTAAAACATTTTTAATTATTGGTGTGTGTGTGTGTGTGTGTGTGTGTGTGTGAGAGAGAGAGAGAGAGAGAGAGAGAGAGAGAGAGAGAGGGAGGGAGGGAGGGAGACAGAGAGAGAGAGGCTGGCAACCAGCAAGCTCCAGTGAGCGTGCCACAGTTCTGGATTACGGGCATGCATAGCCCTGGCCAGCTTTTACATGAACTGACTGGGATCCTAATGCTTGTGAAGCAAGAGCTCTTCCCACTGAACCTTGTCTTCAGCCCCTTCGTTAGCGGCGTCCCAGGTTTCCTACAGTGATAACTGAGTTCATTGGCATCCTACAGTGCCTGTGTGTTCTAGCCCTGACCTCCCTTACTAGCCCTGTCTTCTCTTTCCTTCTACCCTTTAGCATAATTGATTAAAACTGAGTCTAGCCAGGGCCTTTGCACATGCTCTTTCTGCCGCCTTGCACTGCCAGGATCGCTTTGATCCCCCTTCACTTAGTTAACCAGCAGCTCAACTCCTCCTTTTGTGCCAGGATATCAACTATCCTGCTCCCAAGGACCATGACCTTTTCCTCATGCATTGTGCCAGGGTTTACAATTGTACGCTCAATAGTGAGACATTAGGCTAACATTTCTCACTTCCTCCACACCCTAAGCTCAGTGAAGATAGAAACCACTTACAGCTTTGTTTACTGTGGAGCTGGTGTAGGGATGATGTACGTATTTATCGAATGATTGCTTCCAGAGGTAGTAGTAAAACCAGAAGGCTGTGGTAGACACTCCCGGAAGCATCACTGGGCTCATCTGAGTCTGTGAGGTCAAAGGGAGGATGTGCTGTGAAGTGCTGTGTGCAGATCAAATTGTTCTTAGACAGTGCTGCTAATGTGTTAGCTACAAGGTTCTGAGCAAGTCAGGACCAACAAGGATGCTATCCTGAAGCAGACTTAACAACACAAGGGGCTTTCTAGTATAGTTATCAGAGGACAGAATGTTCTAGAATTCCAGGCAAAATTATATTTCAAAGACCTCTTATTTGTAGGATATCTAGGTTCTCAACAGTTAGAATTAACAGGAATGCCAGTGTGAAGGAAGGAGTGTTTATGAAATTAAGTATTTCTCTAAAGAATGGAAATAGTTATTTATGTAGCTCTGCATTTCTGAATTAGCCAAGTGAAAAGTTGTTAACTATGATAGCCAAGTCACACAGTTAAATCATTCAATTGATAATACATAAATGGTTATGTCAGTTGCTTTTGTATTTAGGAAAGCAAACAACAGCTGGACATGGCACGTAGGCCTTTAACCCCAGTACTCAGGAGTCAGAGGAAGGTGGATCTCTTTGAGTTCAAGGCCAGCCAAGGCTGAATAGTGAGGTTCTGTCTCAAAAAAAAAAAAAAAAAAAAAAAAAAAAAAAATAAACAAACAAACAAAAAACCAAGTAAAGTAAAGCTGGGCATGGCATTGTGTGCCTGTGACTTTAGTACTCAGGAGGCAGAGGCAGGAGAATTACCATAAGGTGAAGGCCAGCCTAGGCTAAATAATGAGTGTCAGACCAGCCAGGACTTACATAGCAAGAGCCTGCATCTAACCAACCAGCCAGCCAACTAACCAGCTGAAGGGATATTTCAAACTGGTTTCTAGTCTCATACTTTAAGATATTCACTGTTATACTGATTTATTTTCACCCCCCTTGAGCCGGACTCTGTATAGAGCCCTGCTTACTTTGAACTCCCAGCTATTTCCCTGTCTCAACTTCCCCAATGCTGAGATGATAGACATGAGCCACCATGCCTAGCCTAACTTGCTTGCTTCGTTAAATGCACTGGAGGTCATTAACCTGTCTCTTGACCAAAGTGATTTCACTGTGTCTCCTTCATCCCTTGACATATTCTCTGGCCTCTTCTGACTCAGTGGCAGTCTGCTGCTCTATTCTATCCCCTCCCTCACCCACCCTCCCTCCTTCCCTCCCTCCTCTCCCCCCTTCCCTGTCTATGGCCCCTTCCCCCCCTTCCCTCCCTTCTTTGCTCTGTGTCAGGCTTTCTGGTTTATGGATCAGTAGCAAGTGTATTAGCGCCCTCATTCCTGTTTGAGAGGTAAGGAAACAAAACTGTGAACAGTCAATGGGATTGTCCTAGGTTTCCCAAGTGTGAGAGTGCAGTGGGCCTGGGCTCAGGGTTCTCTTAGATACACCAGGCTCTCTCCAGGATGCCCTAGAAGCATTTCCCATTAGGATTATGTAGCATTGGAAGAGAGACATGCTTTCTCATTTTCTCTGAGAAAAATATGGCGTGCAAATATTTTGAACATTTCTATTGGCAATTAGAAGAAAATATTGTGGAAACCCTCAGGAATCCAGGCAGCCCCCGTTAATGCACATGCCTCTGTGACAGTGATGATGGTGCTTGGGCTGGTGCCAGGAACACTTAGGGATAACTAACAGGCTCTTTCCTGTCAAAAATGCTTCTCAGCTTAATCTTATGATATTTCTAGGCAAGGAAGTAATGGGGACCTGCCAAAACAGACACCCTCCCCAGCCTCCTTGGTGGGGGTCCCTATCCTGAGTGTGTGCCTTTGCTGCCTTGCTCTGGGCCTCATGGGGCCCCATGTTGGGTCCCCAGCTTTTGGGAGAACCCTTTCTCCTTTCTCCTCCTCTGACAGCTTCTTTTCCTTTCCTTAGGAGAGCAAGCCTGAGCAGTGCCTGCCTGGGAAAGGCCACAATACCGGAGAGCAGCCTGCACAGCTTGGCCTGGCCACCAGGTATGGGAGTAGGGTGTCACTCTGGTGATGATGCCACCCCTTTCTTGGGCCAAATTAGGGTCACGCACATGCCCACTGGACACTGATGAGGTCAGCCAGTGGCTCATGTCTTAGGTGTAGGTTCTCTCTGGCTCTGGAGTCACTAGGTGACCGAGACCAGGAGTGGTTTATTGAGATGGTCTTTTTCCTTTCTCAAGTGTATTCAGCTTCTCTCACACAGCTGAGGTTCAAGGTAAATGTGAGTCTCCAGGGAGCTACTTAGCTAGAGTCTTTCTCAGGGTCCTGGCCTGTGTGGTGCTTGTCTGTCTGCCTGTGTGGGGGGTCAGATGTCAACACTGGACTCTTCTTAGCTGATGAGAGCTCCGCTGTGTGCTGGCTCATTTCCAGGGGACACTGACTAAGGTTTTGAGTCCCCTGGCTCCCGGCCGCAGCTCTGCACTTTAAAGAATGTTTTTCACTGAACTCACTGTTTCTGCTGGACTGCCTGGCCGTTGAGCCCTTGGGATCCACCTGTCTGCACAGCCCCCACCCTAAGCAATGGGATTGCAGATGTGAGCAATCTGCCAGATGTGAGTACCTGGTTTTTGAGTGGGCACCTGGGTTTTAAGGAGACCCCCGCTCGGTTCCTCATGCTTGTATAGCAAGCCCTTTACCCACTGAGCCATCTCCTGGTTAGCATTGGAGTCAGCATTAGTTGGTCTGTCTTCAGGTCAGTCTCTGTATGGACTGGAGGGTGCCTTGACTCTGCGGCGATGTCACTGGTCTATGATGATGATGCTGGAAATGAGGATGACACAGGACAGTCTGTGCCAGTGTCATGATGATAATGCCAGCTCCTCACATTTGCAGTCTTCCTGTTGCCGTGGAACCTGATACTGCATTTCTCACTCAGCAGCTAGAACACATGGGCACTGTGGGTCCCATCCACATCTTTGTTGTTTTAGTGCCTCGGAGGTCAAGGCCAGGCCAGTTAGAGCTGGGGCATGTTGAGAACATTGAATTCTACCTGAGTTGATGAGGGATTCCCTGCATGCTGGTTCTCTGTCAGAAGTAGAGATGTGTTCCTTTGGCAAGGGAGAGTCTGCTTTGTAGAAGACTGTTTGGGGGTAGGGTGAGGATGGGCTCTTTCTCAGCTGGGATGCTCTTGAAGCAGAAGGCTTCCCGTTTTTGCTGCTGGTGCCCAGCTCTCTCCTGGCCCTGCTGTTCTGTGCCCTCCTGTGCCCATGCCTGGAGTGGGTGAGATGCCCAGCAGTGTGAGCCTTAGCACTGTCTTCCTGGCTGTCTGGTCAAGAGTTCTTTCTGTTTCTCTGCGGTGGTGCAGCAGGGGTGGTGCAGCAGGGGGTGGTGCAGCAGGTGTGGTGCAGCAGGGGTGGTGCAGCAGGGGGTGGTGCAGCAGGTGTGGTGCAGCAGGGGGTGGTGCAGCAGGGGGTGGTGCAGCAGGTGTGGTGCAGCAGGTGTGGTGCAGCAGGGGTGGTGCAGCAGGGGGTGGTGCAGCAGGTGTGGTGCAGCAGGCGTGGTGCAGCAGGGGTGGTGCAGCAGGGGTGGTGCAGCAGGGGTGGTGCAGCAGGGGGTGGTGCAGCAGGTGTGGTGCAGCAGGGGTGGTGCAGCAGGCGTGGTGCAGCAGGCGTGGTGCAGCAGGGGGTGGTGCAGCAGGGGTGGTGCAGCAGGGGTGGTGCAGCAGGGGGTGGTGCAGCAGGTGTGGTGCAGCAGGCGTGGTGCAGAAGGGGTGGTGCAGCAGGCGTGGTGCAGCAGGGGTGGTGCAGCAGGGCGTGGTGCAGCAGGGGTGGTGCAGCAGGGGTGGTGCAGCAGGGGTGGTGCAGCAGGGGTGGTGCAGCAGGGGTGGTGCAGCAGGGGTGGTGCAGCAGGGGTGGTGCAGCAGGGGTGGTGCAGCAGGGGTGGTGCAGCAGGGGTGGTGCACGCAGGCGTGGTGCAGCAGGGGTGGTGCAGCAGGGGTGGTGCAGCAGGGGTGGTGCAGCAGGCGTGGTGCAGCAGGCGTGGTGCAGCAGGGGTGGTGCAGCAGGGGTGGTGCAGCAGGGGTGGTGCAGCAGGGGTGGTGCAGCAGGGGTGGTGCAGCAGGCGTGGTGCAGCGGGGCGTGGTGCAGCGGGGGTGGGTGCACGCAGGCGTGGTGCAGCAGGGGTGGTGCAGCAGGCGTGGTGCAGCAGGGGTGGTGCAGCAGGGGTGGTGCAGCTGGCGTGGTGCAGTAGGGGTGGTGCAGCAGGCGTGGTGCAGCAGGGGGTGGTGCAGCAGGGGGTGGTACAGCAGGGGTGGTGCAGCAGGGGTGGTGCAGCAGGGGTGGTGCAGCAGGGGTGGTGCAGCAGGCGTAGTGCAGCGGGGGGTGGTGTTGCACGCAGGCGTGGTGCAGCAGGGGTGGTGCAGCAGGGGTGGTGCAGCAGGCGTGGTGCAGTAGGGGTGGTGCAGCAGGCGTGGTGCAGCAGGGGTGGTGCAGCAGGGGGTGGTGCAGCAGGGGGTGGTGCAGCAGGGGTGGTGCAGCAGGGGTGGTGCAGCAGGCGTGGTGCAGCAGGGGGTGGTGCAGCAGGGGTGGTGCAGCAGGGGGTGGTGCAGCAGGGGGTGGTGCAGCAGGGGGTGGTGCAGCAGGCGTGGTGCAGCAGGGGTGGTGTCAGATCCTCTCTCTGTGGTCCTCTCTGCATCATCATCTATGAAGCAGGATGAGAGACGCCTTGGCATCTTCCTTTCCCCTTGCAGCTCCCTGAATGCTCACAGTGACCCTGTGACAAGATGATCAGAATGCACAAGCCCCAAGGCAGACCACAGTCACCGGAAGAACTGTGATCATTTGGGCATTTTAAACTCTTTTAAGACCTGTTACAGGGGCCAAGTGCTGGGTGTCTTCCAAACCTACACTGCTGCCACAGGCCAGACCGAGACCTGGAAGAGATAGGGCCCTGAGGCCCGGTGAGCTGTTATGAAGCATGGGCTGTGACATCTTGGCAAAGGGGCAGAACATAGAGGACATGGTGCCTGTCATTCTTATCGCCATTTTCCTCCTTCCTATTCCTGGCTGTGGAGGAACTCAGGGACACAGGAGCTGGCAGAGGGTGGAGGGACAGTGGGACTCCATGGAGTCCTCCTGGGCCTGGGAGTCTGTGTGCTCTGGGAATCTATGTGTGTTTTGGTGGGTCTCCTTCTCGTCTGCACTGTGGAGTAGTGCCCCTCCTGTTACAGAAAGGCAGTCCCACTCTCCCCCACCTTAAATTACACATATCAAACCTTGAAAACTGTAAATTGGCTCATGTGTGATGGAATTGAGCCTCTGAAATATGTGGAAGTTCTCTTGAGGAATGTAAATCTCTTCATTTGTGGTGGTGTCCCTGACTCCCAGTTTTACAAGAGTCACCTAGATGCACCCCCCCCCATTGGCATTACAATGTTTTCCTAATTGACAGACCTGATTGACAGAACAGTCCCCAAAGTCCCATAATTGAGCAAACAGCTTGTCACCATACAAATAATTAAAATGCCATTTGAAAAATGTACGCGGTGACAAGCGCTAGCTTAAATGCTCACAGTTTCTCATCACAACACAGATTTTCAAATGACTTGGGGACCTTTTGTTGCCGTTTGCAGCCACTGTGGAGCAAGTGACATCTAATGAACCTCTGCAGGAGTGATTGTGGGGGCTCTGCCTTGTACCACTCAGGGTGGTGAGGTCTGGAAGGTGGCAGGCTCCAATGGCTGTCCACATGCCCATCAGAGAGCTGCCGGCAGCCAACTGCACTGCTCCCATTTTCGGTTTTGAGTCTGTGTTTCCCTTCCTATGTTCCTTCAACATGGCACGCTGCATGAATTCAGTGGGCCGTTCTCTTCCTAAGTGGCAGATGGAAATCACAGCTATTCCCACTTGCTCGCTCATCCCCTCTGGAAGAGGCACACATCAATCTGTTGTTGCTCAGAGCCATGGGTACATTTGTTCGGATCTCACTTTGCTCTAGACTGCTTGGAACAGGAAGGGCTTTTCTTCATTGCGGTGCATCCAGTTGCATTCCGCTTGACCACTTGACGAGAGAGGGCCTTGCCTGGAGCATTGGTCATGTGGCTCAGGCTGCAGGACTGGGTTTGCCCCATCTGGAAACCTCTAGGATGTCAGTTCAGAAGGATGAGTACTCCTGTGGGATCTGTAGATACTGGATCAGGAAGGGACCTGGTTGAGCATTATGGGAGAGCTAACTGAGGCACAGAGTCCTGTGGTGTCAGTCTGGTGTGGGACTTAGATGTCTGTCTCATTTTCCCCACGGTTTGCTGCCACACTGAGCTTTGGTGGATGCAGTGTGTTCTGCAACTTAGAAAGGCAGGAATAATTAATTCGCCATAAGTAGTACAGTGTATCTTTCCTTGAGCTGGCAACCTTGATTTTCAGGTCACAGCTGCTGTCTACACTCTGACTCACCAGAGTTCAGGTCTGCCTCAGATAACCAGAATTCCAGCCTGTATGTCGCCTGTCTCCTTTGACATGGTCTTTGATCCCAGAACTTATTCACAAGCTTTGTGAATACCAGGAATGCTCTTCTGGCCCTGGCGACTGTTCTGGGACTGACTTCTTTAGGCAAAACCCGAAGAGAGCAGGGATGACCTGGCAATGTTGTCTGCTTTTTTCAGTATCTGGCTCCACCCAGAAGTGGGGATGCTGTGTGAGTGTTCCCCATGATGACTTCTCAGTCCTGGTCAGCCTCAGGCTGTGCAGATCACTTCTTTAATGCGTTTCTGTGGTGGAAAGGCTTGTATGGGAGGCTATCGGGGTGACCGTAAGGCAGGCCAGGGGTAATGGAGGCAGGGACAGACTGAGAGGATGTTGAGAGGGGACACTCCCTGAGTTAGGAAGATAAAGGGATGTGAAAGTTGGCGTGCTGGTTGATTTATTTATTTTTGTCAACTCGATATAAACCTAGGCATGTCTGGGAAGAGGGAAGCTTAAAACTGAGAAAATGCTTCTGCGAGATTAGCCTACAGGCAGCCCTGTAAGGTATTGCCTTATTTAATGATTGATGCATCAGTGCCATTTATTCCTGGGCAGGCGGCCCTGGGTTGTTGCTCAAGAAAGCAGGCTGAATAAGTCATGAAGAGCAGGCCAGTAAGCAGCCCTCCTCTAAGAGCTCCACGTCAGCTCCTGCCTTGAGTTCCTGCCCTGACTTCCATCAGGATGGAATGTGACCAGACATTGAGTGATAACTGAAGTAAACCCTTTCCTCTCCAAGTTGCTTTTGGTCTTGGTGTTTTATCTCAGCAACAGAAGACCAATCAGAGGTGTGCCTGGCTTTTCCCATTTAGCTCAAGCCCGTTATTAAGTACTTTGCAGGGTGTGAAGACTTGGGAAAGCAGAACAAATATTATTGGGTTGGAGGATGAAGCCACAGAATTGAGCTCAGGGGGCGACTAATTTACTGACTTGTCTTCTGTGAGGCACTTAGACACCATGGGCCTGAGTCTTATCCTGCCTCCCAGCCCCAGCCTGTAGGAGCTGCCAGAACTGGGACATTGGTCTGTGCATTCTGTGAGCAATTGGTAGTGTCCTCCTGGCTCATAGTGACTTCCAGGAGTCTTGGGGGTGGCAAAACTTAGGTCCAGGGAGTGTCCTTATTGTTTGATTGTTTGGAATTGATGGAACTGGATCTGAGACAACCGGTAGCGTTTGGACTGTAGACATTTGAACTTGCAGGGCTTGGCCCATAGCCTTCAGTGGAAAGAGAAAAGAGGTAGGCGAGTGTGTGTGTGTTTGTGTCTTTCTGGGCCAGAATGGGTGTAGTCCTGCTCATTAGGAGTGGAATCACACTAGTTAAAAGTGAGTGATGAGAGTTGGTAAGCAGGGAAGTGAATTAAGAGAGGCAGCCCCTCTCCCTCAACAATGAAGCCATGTATGAATGGGGATATAGGAGAGTTCATTGATAAATCTAAAGCCATATGGCAAATGACCACCCAGGAGACCTGATTGACTGAATCATTGATTCTGGGCCTAATGCATTTTTAATGGCTGCCCAGATGTGTTTTCTAATTACATCACCATGTGTTCCAGAATAAAGCACGAGTCATCCTCCAGTGATGAAGAGCATGCGGCTGCCAACCCATCGAGCTCAAGCCACCTCTCTCTCTTGTCGAATATCAGCTACAAAAAGACCCTGCGGCTCACGTCTGAGCAGTTGGTGAGTCCCTTGCTCTCAGTACAGCTGCATTTCTCAACCTCAGGTCATGGCCAAAGAGAATTATAGGTCTCTCTTGAAGGTCTGAGGGTCCCTCCTACTGTCCTGCTCACTTAGCCCTTCTTCTAGGTCCTTTCCTATGCCAGCATGCCTGCTGGTGACTTCACTTTGGTACCCCATGTTTCCAAGCTGACCTTGTATCTGTTCAGATGGATCTGCTACATGACTTTGCACTCCTGAGTTGCTTTTGTTTCTGACCTAGAAGGAGGAGACAGCTTTGCCTGAGCCCATTTATCTTCATTATCAGTGGTCGAGAGTCTTTGGAATCTCTCCTGAGTGTTTCTGCTTTGAGAGAGATGCTTGTTAACACAAATGCATCTATAAAATTGGTAGAGATCAAGCAGGTGTGATGAGGTTTAGAGAACCCTCGTGTGTGTGTGTGTGTGTGTGTGTGTGTGTGTGTGTGTGTGTGTGTGCGCGCGCGTGCGCGCACGTGCGTGTGTGTGTTTGTGTGTGTGTGAGATGTGGCTAGTTTTAAGGAGGCCTTTTCAACCTCCTTAAATCAAGGCCATCAGAGTAGGTATTTCTACTTTTCTACAAAGAAAGTCTTGTGTATCTATTGAGAGAATTTATGGAGAGCAGGTTTTGATAGGATAGTTTTAATGGGAAAAGATGACTCCATGTTAGCCACTTGTAGTGCCCTGGGGGACACTTAGAGTCAACGTTGTGGGTCTGTGCAGCTAGCTGCTGTGTCTCAGAGTATACTAGCAAAGATGGAAGATCGACCAAGTTTTGTTTTCTGGATGTTATGATGTGCTTGGGCCTGGTCTATGTTTTTATGGACTCAAGGCCTCTCTTTCCAAAAACAATATTGAGGGAAAACATTTTTTCCTGATTTGCAGTTGTGTTCTTATACCAAGACCCTTTACATTTCCTATGTAATGGTATGATTTGGGTGAAGCCTGTTAGCCAGTCACTTAACTCCACATACATACACTCTAAGTTCTGGATCAAGTTAGCATTGCTTTTAGAAACAATGCTTTGTAAAGAGTGGTGACTGCTTCACAAGTGAGGCCAGGGATAGCTAAGTCTGACTTAGGTTATCATTCCAGCCCCGGAAAGAGCTAAAGCCAGAAACAGAAGTGTGAGAACTTGGCAGTAGCCTGGGGAAATGGTTTGATTTGAAAGCCCCTGGAGGCCATGCAAGCCCTTAATGTCCTTGTCAAGAACACGGATGGCCCATGTTTTTCAGAAAAGCCTGAAGCTGAAGAATGGCCCCAACGATGTGGTTTTCAGTGTCACCACACAGTACCAGGGCACCTGTCGCTGTGAAGGCACCATCTACCTGTGGAACTGGGATGATAAAGTCATCATCTCAGATATCGATGGGACCATCACGAGGTGGGTCTATCTGCAGGGCGGTCTGAGCTGGCTTCCATTGTGGGAATTGGAGCACACAGTTTCTGGTGCATTTGGAACTTCCCAGAGAGGGGTAGCACCTGGTCCTCCATAGCTGCCACCAGGGCCTGGTGGCTTGTTTCTGTTTGGGTACCATCTCTCCATCCTGGTGAATTTTGGAGAATGCTGGAATGCTTAGCAGCTCCTCACTTGGGTTTGGCAAACCCTCCGCATGGTGACTCACCATAGCTGCCCTTAGTGTCCTCACATGTTTCTGTGAGCCTAGGGCTTTCTGTTGAGAAGGCCATGGATTTTCTTCATACTGTTATTTCTTTTAGTTTTTTCTTCCACACGTTTTTGTGGGTCCTTGTGTATGCGAATGAGCCGGACCTCAGGGCTCAACCTGGGGGCAGTCTGTTCTCTTCTCCTGACATATGGGTGCCTGGGATCAAGCTCAAGCCAATTAGGCCTGGCAGCAATCACCTTTACTATCTGAGCCATCTTGCCAGCTCTTACTGATAGTATTTTTATGGGACATGCGTATTGTATCTAAGCCAGTTGGGCATTTTTCTTCTCTTAAAGTAACCTTTGCCTTATGTATATATGTTTTTCATCTTTATCTAGATCGGATACTCTTGGTCATATTTTGCCCACGCTGGGAAAGGATTGGACCCACCAGGGCATTGCAAAGCTATACCATAAAGTAAGCCAGTAAGTACAGAGGGTCTGACTCCCGCCTAGTAACTGCCAGTTTGCAGCTCCCACACTCTGTATACAGAACCTCTCCTTTCGAGCATGGATTAACTTACAAAGAAGAAGAACTTGCTTCCTTAAGGTGGCGGGTAAGATTGTCTTTCCCCTAGGATTACAAATGAGACAAGAATCCCTTCTTTCCTCAACAGTGACCTTCAACTGAGGGTAGCTTTGGGATCCCCCTGCACCATCCACCGTTGAATATACACTAGTGTGTAGAGACTTAATTTTGAGATAGGGTCTATTACTAAGTAGCCCAAACTGGCCTGGAACTCACAGTCTCTGCCTCCCAAGCACTAGAATTTTGGGCATGCGAGACCATGCTTCAAGGCTTTTTTTGATTGTCATGATTACAGTGTGCTATGGGCACCTGATGGGTGGAAGCTGTGACTGACAGTGCATCACTATAGGCGTCTTACCGCTACCTGCTCCAAGATAGCTTTGCGCTGGGGACGCCGTGTCCCATAGTGCATCACTACAGATGTCTTACATCTACCTGCTCCAAGATAGCTGTGCTGAGGACCCCAGTCTAACAGCTTATCTTGAAAAATTTGATGGTGGTAAACCATTCAAAACTATTTAAGTCTGCCTGGATTGTGGGCTTCGGATTTTGTATTTTTTTTTTATTGTGCGTGTGTATGTGTGCATGCGTGTATATGTATGTGCGCATATGTGTTTGTGTGTACACACATTTGTTTATGTGTATGTAAATGTGTTCATATGCATGTGTGTTTGTGTGTGCGTGTGCATGTGTGTTCCTGTGTGTATGCATGTATGTGTGTGTGCATGTGTATTTGTGTGTGTGTGTGTGTGTGTGTGTGTGTGTTTGTGTTGGCATGCCTCAGTTTGATTGTGGAGGTCAGAGGACAGACAGCTTTCAGGAGTTGGTTCTCACCCCCACCTCACTGAGACAAGATCTCTCTTGTCTGTGCCACTGTTGTGTATTCCAGTTAGCTGGCCTGAGTCTCCTGTCTATGCCTCCCATTTCACCACAGGAGTGCTGGGACTGCAGATGGTGCCAGCGCATCCGTCGCTCTATGGGTTCTGGGTGGATTGCAGGTGGTCAGGCTTCCGTGGTTTGAGCCATTTCTCCAGTCCCTGCATCGTTTAATAAAGCAGGCTGTAGTGACTGGGGCAGAATGAGAAACCTGGGCACAGGCTGCTCTGCCATGCTTTGCTCCAAGGTTCTCCAGACTCCATGCCGGCCACTGACCATCAAGAGTGGATGGTGTACCATGCACCTTTCCCCCATTTCTCTGTACCTCACCACTGCTGTGGTTGAGGGACGATGGGAAGAGCCTCAGAGACCTGGGCGGGACAGCCTGTAGTGCTGTCCTTTTCGGTGGTGGACGAATCTCACCACCCTACTCCACCCCCAGGAAAGTCTCTCCATCCTTGTGCAACCACTCTCTGTCCAGCTATGGGAAGCATGGTGTTGTCTGGTATGCAGAAGAGGTGACTGGTGACTTATCATAATGGAAAACTACTCTAGCTTGGACACAGAGAGCTCATCTATGATTCAGTGAGAGGCATTCAGGCTCATTGTCCCCTGGAAATAACATTTTACAGAATACAGTGTTTCACATGTGGGCCCTTGCAACCATGCCTTTCTTCATAGGGCAGATGGAGAAAAGGGTTTGGGATGCGGCAAAGTTCCATCTCACAGTGCTATTCAAGGTAAATGGCTTGTGTCTTTCAGGAACGGCTACAAGTTTCTCTACTGTTCGGCACGTGCCATTGGGATGGCAGACATGACAAGGGGCTACCTGCACTGGGTCAACGAGAGGGGCACTGTGCTGCCACAGGGACCACTTCTGCTCAGCCCGAGCAGCCTCTTCTCTGCCCTGCACAGGTACTGCCCTGCCATCCGACCCCCATTCCCTGCACAGGTACTATCCGACCAGCTGACCCCCTTGCGCTGACCTGCTGGTCAGCCCTGTTCTCTCTTCCTCATTGCCAATTTTGCAGAATGAGTAGACTGTTGGACTGGGGAGATGGCTTTGTTGATAAATGCCCTTACTTTTCAAGTGTAAAGAGGAATTTGAGCCCCAGAACCCGTGTGTGTGTGTGTGTGTGTGTGTGTGTGTGTGTGTTAAATGCATTACTGATTCCTCGCACAGCACACCAAATACAGTCTCTTTGAATGCATTAATAATCTCGAGTCACCAAGAATGCATCAGTATCACATTAATGAAAGATTTTCCCTTAGTGTCACACTGAAGTGACACTACCTCTTGGTGTCATCTCACCAAGAATGTACCCAGATTTGAATTCTTGACTTCCTTGTCCATATGTGCTCTGCCTTCTTATCTGTCCGTCACTTGTCTGAATTCGTCCTGCCTGGCTTGTGAATCTGTCCCCATGTCTGCGTCTGTCCCTCTGTGTGTGTGTGTGTGTGTGTGTGTGTGTGTGTGTGCGCGCGCGCGCGCGTGCACGCATTCTCTTCTTAGCTGGCCTCTTCTGACTAGTACCCATGGTTGCAGTGCTCACATGGAATGTTCAGCAGTGTCTAAGCTGTGTTGTACCCACTGTTCTGCCATGTGGCTTTCCGAACCAAGTTTCATTAAAGCATCCAAAGGTCTGTTGAGATTTGACTAAAAGTGCAATGAATCTAGAGACCGGTTCAGAGAAAATTAATAGCTCAATATAATATTGGATCATCCAGTTCAAGAATCTGACCCATCTGTTTTATTTAGGTTTTTCTTGTCCATTTCAGTGAGTTTTAATTTTTTTTTTTATAATTTATTTACTTTTTTTATTTCATGGACATTCATGTTTTTACTTGTATGTATATCTGTGTGAAGGTGTCATATCCTCTGAAACTGGAGTTACTGGCAGTTATGAGCTGCCTTGTGGGTGTTGAGAACTGAACCTGTGTCCTCTGGAAGAGCAGCCAGTGTTCTTCTCTGATGAGTCATCTCTCCAGCCATGAGTTTTTTATAATTTTGACCAAGAAGGTCCATCGTATCATTTTGATACCTAAATTATAAGTTTTATAGCTTTTATTTACCTTTTCTTACATTATTCTCTGGCTAGCACCCGAAGCACACTGAAGGGCAGTGCTTCTGGACACCATTGTTTTACTCCCCATAGAATGTTTGCAGAAGGGTCTTATGGAAGGGTCTCGCCATGTAGCCCTGACTTGGCCTGGGACTGAGTAGGTAGACCATGCTAACGCCTGCATTTGGGGCATCTTCATGCTTCACCTTTCTAGTTCTGGGATTATGTGTTGCCACCACAACCAGATTTTTGTAGTAGTTCTTTGTTTTTGTTGTTTTGTCTCCCCCCCCCCTCTATTTTTAATCTAACAGGCTCTGCAGTTAAGAGCACTTCCTGCTTTATAGAAAGCCAAAGTTTGAGTCCCAGCATCCATGCTGGATGACTCACAACCACCTGTAACTCCAGCCTCAGGGTATTGGACATCATCTATTGGCTTGTACAAGCCACCCACACACACGTGGCACACTGACACATACAAATAACAAATTTAAGAAAGAATTTCCTAACTAGATGTCACCAGTGTTCAGTGTCTTTGTATCAGAGGTGATCTCCTTCCTCTTATCCCATCATGTGTGACAGATTGTTACGGGGATCACTTTAAAACTTCCTATAATGACTCTGATCCCCTGTACTGCCTCCCTTTCATTTATAGATGTCCTTGGAACTTGGCCTGTGTGCTCACCAGTGAGCTTGTGTGTGTGTGTGTGTGTGTGTGTGTAACTCAGAGGACAGCATGCAAGGGTTGCTTCCCTTCTTACATGGCTCTGGGCATACTCTCAGGCTGCTGGACTAGGCAGCGAGCCTCTTTACCCACTGAGCCGCTTTTGTGGCCATCACACCACTTTAATGCAAATGTAGTAGGTCCTCCCAAGCTGACCAGTTATTTATTTATTTGTTTTAATAGAGAAGTGATTGAAAAGAAGCCAGAAAAGTTCAAAGTCCAGTGTTTGACCGACATCAAAAACCTGTTTTTCCCGAACACAGAACCCTTCTATGCTGCTTTTGGGAACCGTCCTGCTGTAAGTACCCGAGGGATCACAGGGTCCTCAGATGCTGCCCTTGGTGCTAGTAGTTTTCATGAAGGCTGGCGGAGGAGTACATGTAAAGTGAACGTCTCCTAAGGCAAAGAGGTTAAAGGTCAGTCAGACATGGCCTCTGGTCTTCTTTGAGTTTGATGCTGGTGACCTGGACCACAAACTTGCAATTGTGTATTACTCTTTAAGTGAGTAAAATAAGGGCACTGAGGTACTGGGTCCTTCCTGCGAGATGGGCCCACCATCCCAGCCCTGTCTGATGGCAGTGTTGGGTCCTGTGCCTCCAGCCTGAAGCAGTGAGATCTCCCCAGCTGAAGGAAATGAGTGGAGATGGCATATGTGAACCATGCTTTCCAGTAGGTTTAGTTCAAAATCTGCAGCAAAGACTCATAGGGTGACAGGAAGGTGTGGAGATGTTGCTGCAAGGTTTTGTATTCTATAGAGTATAGCTGCATATTCACTACTCAATTGGAAAACTCTGCTTTTAAAACCTGTGGCAGATTATAATGAAATGAGAAAAATGGGTTAGAAAATAAGCCCGAGGAATGTCAGCCAGCCTGGCAGGGGATAGAGGAGGTTAGCTCAGGTCCTGAAGAGTTGAAGGAACTGAGGCCCAGGCAGGAAAGCTAGCTGAATGTGTCCCTGTTTCCATGAGGTGCAGTGACCATTAGTGAAAACTGGATAAACGTGACATTCAGTGAAAGGTGGCATGTGCTTGTTTGTACAGGGAACTCCCTGCCCACCCTGACATGCCCAATCACCCTTTCTAAACATAGGATGTGTATTCCTACAAGCAAGTGGGAGTGTCCCTGAACAGGATCTTTACTGTCAACCCCAAGGGCGAGCTGGTGCAGGAGCACGCCAAGACCAACATCAGCTCGTGAGTTTATCAGCTTCCCAGGAGCTTGATCCCCCCCACTGTCCCAAAGCCAGCATCACTGTCCACTGCAGTCATGTTTAGCCATCGCTACTTTGCTTTAACATGTGTGTGTGTTTGTATGTGATGTATATAGTATGTATAGTATACTTGCATGTCTTCATATCCGTGGAGGTCAGAGGTAAATGTCATGCATCTTCCTCAATCACTCTTACTTTAATTTTTGAGACAGCGTTTTTCATTGAATTTGAGTCTTACCCACTGGGATATCCTGGCTGGCCAGCGAGCTGCAGGATGCTTCCTGTGTCCAATGACCCAGCACTGGGACTGTTATCATGCATGATACCTGACTTCAGGGAAGGCAGTTTATCACCAAGCCATCTCTCCAGCCCTTTTTAATCTTTAATTCCTCTAAAAATGGAGTTCAACTCTGTGTCCTCAGTCTCCATGCTAGGCTAGCACTGCACTGCAGAGGTGCCCTTCTCTGTCCCCAGCTTACCGATGTTTGCTTTGTTTGAGACAAGATCTTGCGTGGAGTCCAGGTTGGCTTTGAGCACTGAAATCCTCCTTCATTCTCCCCAGTGCTGAGATTGCAGGGTGTGTGCCACCACACGTCTGGTTTTGCTGCATTGAACGAGGCAGAGAGAGGCATTGTGGTACATGGAGCCTCTGGCTCACCTCATGTGGGTCTCTCATGTCAGCCCTACTGGGTACATCAGCCCAGGAAGGCACTGTCACTCTGCCTCATCCATTGAAGAGGCTATGTACGTATCTTCTATCTGTTTCAAACTGGAAACTAGCCTCTGGCTTGAGTGCTGGCAGTACTGCCATAAACTGGAGAGTTGGATCTGTAGAATGGGCTGTCAGGGTCTTCCTGGTGTTTGCAAGTATCTCCCATGTTTTTTGAGCTGGGCATGGTTGTGACTCACACCTGTAATCCCAGCACCCTGGGAAAGCAGAGGCAGGAGGATTGCTGTTGGTTTGAGGCCAGCTGCAGGCTGCATAGTGAGTCCCAGGCCAGTCTGGATTTCCAGATGAGACCACCAGAGCAGTTTCTCACTTTGAGGATGGTCATGTGTTTTGCAGCTGGACTAGAGTCCGGCTTGACTAGAGCAGTTCCAGATGTGAGGGAGCCCTGGCTTCCTGGCTTCATAGAGAGGTCAGGCCCTGCAGCTCTGTAGGTGTGGGAAGAGAAGATGGGCCCATGCCCTTCTATCCTGTAGTGGTCAGTTGGGATCCTTTCACCTGTGTGGTGTTGAGACAAGTACTCTGAGAGGAAGCCTCTGTCTTCAGGGAGCATATCTAGCAAGGCCTATTATTAATTTGTGTGTATATGTGTGTATTCATGTTTGTATGTGTGCATATTTGTTTGTGTGTGCATATATATGTGTGTGTGCGTTGCATGCACAGGCAGGTACATAGTGTCAGAGGACAACTGTGGAAGCTATTTTCTCCTTCCACCTTTACGTGGCTTCTAGGGTTTGAATTCAGGCTTCGAGACTTTGAGGCAAGCCCTTCTTTCCCTACTGAGCCATCTTGTAGGTTTCTGGGTATGAGCAGTTCTAGCCAAGCAGATGCTTGTTTTGTCCCTTGGAGCCTGGGATGGTCCTGTGGACAGTCTTTACAATGTGAAGCCCCACCAGGTTGGGGACCGAGTTCAGGGCTATCCTCCTTTATAGTCAGGGAATGTCCTGTCCTTGCTCCAGGGAGCCCCACGCCTGGAGGGTGGTATGGGCCACCCAGATGGAGGAGGCACTGCTGCCAGGGCACGTGAACCTCGCTAGCTTGGTTCTGGTGGCTTCCACCATCTGGCAGGGGACAGCTCCCTTCTCCTACCCCCATAGCCACAAACCTCAGGCTAATAGGCCTTCAAGTCAGGAGGTATTTAAAAAATTTGTTTGTTTGTTTTAATCCCCAGGAAAGACATAATTCTTAGTGTACAGCTGAGAGAGGTTTCCCTGCTCTGTGCGAGCACACTGTTTCTCATGAGTCCGTTGGAGGCCCTTTATTAAACACACACACAGCCTTATTGAATCAGTCACTTCATGCCTTAGAACATGCTAATTCCTGGAGTTTGGACTTTGAAAGCCCCTTTTGGTTCTCGGCATAAGAGAGTGGAGAGGGGCTCAGGGCCTGTCACACAGGAGTCTAAGCTGTGTGGGAGAAGGTTGGGCGTGTCCAACTCCCTGTGTGGAGGATCCTGGAGGTCTTCCAGGGCGATTCATGTAGCTGCCTTTTTTCTGTAGTGCAGGCTGTGGCTAGGCAACATCTTCCTGGAGACAGAGGGCAAGCCCCAGGGTAGGGAGTGCTAGAAACTCCTGTGTGGTCCAGTCCCACACACTGTGAGGATGAAGGGGTTGAAGCTCAGGGAGGACAAGATGCTTGCCCAGAGGAGGCTGAAGCTTGCTGACCCATGGCCAGGGACTTTTTCCTGAAGTGTAGGTGATCCACCACTGAACGGTGAGTTTCCAGTACAGGATACTGAATCATTGCCCATGATATTTGTTTCTGATGCTAAGCAAGGGGCAGTTTCCATTTGCCTTCCTTTTTGGTAGAGCAAGTCAAGGTGTAAAAAGGCAAAAGCCTTTGCCTGAGATCTCACAGCTGGCCCTGGGCCCATGGCCCCGTGTCTTTTCTCTGTGAATGTGGTGCTTTGTGGTTCCTCCCCCAACACCCCACATGTGGCCTTATGGCAGGCCGGTGTCCCTGATGGTGCTGGTCTCCCTCTGCATCGCTGGCGCCTCTGCTCCTATTGTCTGCTCTTCATGCATAGTCAGGCTGGCCATTCCTGGGAGCTTTCTCGCCTTTGCCTATTCTGTCTCTCCCTCTCCCTTCCAGTTGATTCATGAGGCTAGCATGGCTCTAGTGGGGGTTGGGATAATATATCCCCCCCCCCCCCAGCCTGCAGTGCAGCCCAGAGTCCATCAGTGGCTAATGAACCTACTGTCCTTTTTACCGGGCAGGTATGTGAGGCTCTGTGAAGTGGTTGACCACGTCTTCCCGTTGCTGAAGAGAAGCCATTCCTCCGACTTCCCCTGTTCAGACACTTTCAGTAACTTCACATTTTGGAGAGAGCCGCCGCCACCCTTTGAAAACCAGGACGTACATTCAGCCTCAGCTTGATACAACCAAGCATTAAAGGATAGGTTGTGGGGACGCTGGAGCTGCTGAGAAGGCTGATATACGGGCCATCTACCTAGGAGAGCATTTCTTCCAGTACCCGCTTGCCCCGGGGTGACATTTCTCAGCATGGAGGGTGGATGGAGACTGCATCTCATCCCATAGGCTTCATGAGGATTGGGTACACTAGTAGTGTGCAAAGCAGTCCTCTGTCTGGTTTAGCATACACAGTGCTGCTCTCTTTAGCCCTTTCTAGCAATTAGTGTGTGGTGTGCGTGGTGGACCCCTTACAGAAGGGGGCCGACCACCTGAGAGCTGCCTCAGTCTCAGTGTGGTCCCCACCCCAGGAACTCTGATGGGCACAGTTTTTGGTGGCTGAAGAGGCACCTTTCTGTGACAGTGACATCCGTGCCGCCTCCACACATAGGGATGGGCTCTTTTCCGAGTCTGAGTGCTCTGAAGGGAACCTGGGCCTCGCTAGGTCCCAGCCCTCGGGCTTTGACTTTATAGACAGTCCTTTGCAGGATGGCTGACTTGGTCTCAATGTAGGTGCTCTGCTGTCTAATTGCTCTAGTTAAAGATGGCCCACGTCACTGGTGCATCTCTCCCCATCCCTCGTAGCTCAAGGCTGGGCTGTTTATGCCTTAACACATCCGATGCAGGCATTTGCTTAGAGTGCACTGTCTAGTTCTCTGTAGCTGTGACGCCTTATGTTAAAATGATAGTCCCCAAGGCAGTGTCTCATGTCTGCTTCCCGCCCGCCATCAGCAAGGAAGTACCACTAATGAGGACTGGAGCAGCACCTAGGCCAGGCGAGAGTAATGCCTTGGAGAGACTGGTTGGTTTTAAGAATCATAGTCTCCAGAAGTGTCTTTGCAGTTATTATTTATTACTTTGATCTCACTGGGCTGCTGTTGTGCATCCCAGCCAGATCCTTAGGATTGCAGCTGTCATGAGTACATCAAACATTAAGTGTGCTAGACAATCCAAAGAGCCTTATTCTGTCTGTGTCACACACTGACCTTCTGGTATTTCCAAACCATTAATTTTCCTTAGCTTTTTTTCCATTCAGTCTAAGGGCAAGGAAAAAAATAGGAATTTGAGTGATGTTCTTTAAGCTGATAGAGGGTAGTTGTTGAACTGTCTCAGAAAAATGTGAAAAAAAAAAAGAAGTATTTTGGTAAGAGATTTTGCTTTACTTTTGAAAGTTTTATTTTTTTAAAGTGTTTTCCTCCTGAAAGATCTTCCTATTTAAATGTCATCATTTGAGTCAGAAGAGACAAAAGAAAAACAAAACAGAAAAAAAGAAAAAGAAAAAAGAGCGGTAGAAAAGCAGACTGTTATTCTTTCTGTGAAAGAAAACCTAGCGTCACTGCTGTTGTTGGATTCCCTTAAGGTAGGATGTGGTTCACACAGACCACGGGGATAGACTCGGGGAGCACTCCTGCTGTGGACCATAGACAGATGAAGGAATTCGGACTTGAGTGTGGAGGTTTTCTTCCCGGAGCGAAGGAAGGAAGCAAGCATTAGTCCTGCCACTGTGAGCTCGTGGCTTGTCTTCTGGTGACCTTCAGAGGCCACGTTAGTCCTGCCACTGCGGTGTTTTGAGTGCATTTGGATTGCCGTGGACTGCAGACGAGCTCATCGGTCTGCAGAGGCTCGTGGGCCTCTCATGCTTGGGAGAAGCGTTGGAATCTCCCTTTACCTGCCCTCTGCAGCCCTCTGTTTTCTGAGAGCACACAATGGCTGGAGCCAGGATCTATTTCTATAACCTGGTCTGCAACACACAGCAGTCCTCCCTTGTGCCTCCACAGCCAGCACACCTGGCTTGGGAATCTAGTTTTAGAATACCTTTAACCTCCCCATCATTCCACCATGAATCAGAGCACACCTTCACCAAACTCTAAGAACTCTGAAATTCTTCCTGAGCCCGGTCCAGGTTGTGGTGTGAAGAACACCTTCAGGGAGGCCCCCATGAGCTGAAACAGGCTCACTCACGCTGGCTTACATGCATATGCACTGTAACCCAGTGACCCCCAGGGTCACAAGCTAGAATACTGTATAAGTACCACACATTTCAAAGTTGCTCGGGAAAATGAGTGACTCACTCAGTGACACGTCGTCAAATGTTGGTCCCACATGACGAAGGAGAACTCCCCTTTGGGTCTCAGGTTTGGATCACTACTTCAGTATGTTTTATTTACAACATTGACTGTGTGTTTGTGAATGCTGGCACAGTGATGAAAATCAATGTAATATTTCATCGTGTTGTGCTTGATGTGGAACTAGAAATGCCTGTAATAAACAAAATGGATGAAAGACTTCTGAAAATGAGGCATATGCATTTTAAATTGTTTTTATGTTCTTAAGGTGCTTTTACTTATTTATTCATTTATTTATTTATCTGGTGTGCTGTCATTTACAATATTTAGTCCTTAACTTGGGAAAAAAAAATCAACCCTTGCCTGGAGATGGCTCAGGCAGTAAAGTACTTGCCATGCAAGCATGAACATCCAAGTTCTATCCCCACCACCCACCACCCATGTGGAAGTGTGCACTTGTAATCCCAGTGCTGGCAGAGGTGAGGATGGGCAGATCCCTGGTACTTACTGGACAGGCAGCCTGGTGGAATCCATAAGCCCCAGGTCCTGATGAGAGGCCCTGACTCAACAGACATAGTGGACTGTCCCTCAGATAGAACAATACCTGAGGTCCTGGCTTCTACATGCATGGGTGTCCAAGGCCCACCCAAGAGCCTTCAGATGAATATCCAGGGACACACACAGAATCCTTAAGCTTGCAAACTGTTCATTGTGGGAATCAGCATGTTTTCTGTTGAGTTCATGTGGATTGTCATGGCAACCCTATTTATTCCCAAGATGGATAGGAGAGAATATGCATGCGTTCTTTCCATGGAAGAGACATGTAGTCCTGCACAACCTGCATTGGGTCATTGCGTTGAGAGGCCTGTTCGGAATAAGCAGCTTCTTCCCTGGCCTGGAAGGACTACTGAGGAGCCAGCAGGCATAGAGAAGGTTCAGTGTGCAGTGTCCTGGAGGGCCCTGCCCCCCTGGTCACTGTTTACCACGTGGGGTGCCCTCACCTCATATCTATTGCTCTCCTCTCTTGGACATTTGTCCTTAGTTTGCTTTTCATTTTGAAGAAATGCATCACAGCCCTTGGCTAGCTCCATCATTTAAGCAGAGGACAGTCATATCCTATTAGCATGGTGCACTAGTGATGGCCAGAGGCTTCCTATAAATTGCTGCTTTGACAATTTTATATGTTTATGGTGTGGATGGAAGAGGATGTCCCCAAATGTTAAAGGTATTGCTGGATAAAAACCGAGGCTGAGTTCCTCATGAAGTCCACATCCCAACGGCCACTTGGGCACCTGTAGGCTCAATGCATCTTTCACAGCAGAGTAAACCCTGGATCATCTTCACACATCTGTTCTACCCAACTGCAGTGTCTACGCTCTTATCTGAAATAAAAGCCATTCATTCATATGTGATCTCTTTGCCCTTTGACACCTTGCCCCCACAGTGGCACCTGAGGCTCTCCTATTGTCCCACAGCCCACACCCCCATGTAGACTGAACTATTTTGGATGCTTATGTTTTCCCACTGATGGGCTGAGATCACCTGCACATTTGAAGTGCTTGGTGCTTTGGTTTCAAAGAGTAATAGGCCTCTGTTTTGCATCAGGGGCCAAGAACATAGATGACAGGTCTTAGCCATCAGCTCTGGGGCTCAGAGTGCCCATCTGTGAAAGACATTGTGCAGCCCTGGACCACAAGTGTCGTAGAGGGAAGCTAAAGAGGCCTCCACTTTGAAACAAGCAAGTTCTGGGGCTAAACTACTCTGTAGGCCCCAGGTCCCCCGCTCATTCACCTCACTTTGTATCTTCTATCAAGGTTGTGGAGTGTGAAAAGCACTGAGCACATTCCCTTGAACCTAGGAGAGGTGAAAGCACCCTGGGATTTCTCCCTTTTCCTAGACTTTGTGCCTGGATCCTGCCCCTGCCCTTTGAATCGCAGGGATTATAGGTGACCACTGTATCTGCTTTGACTTTGCATGGGTTCTGAAGGAGGCAAGTGCTTATCCATCTTCTCAGCGTCAGCTTATTTTAAAGACAAGGTCCCATGAGGATGGCCTGGAACTCAATTTATAGCCAAGGATGGCTTTAAATTTGATCAGTACCCCTCCAGCCATCAAGTTGCTGGGGTCCCAGGAATGTGACACTATGATTGACTTGTTTGGTACTGGGAATTGATGCATGCTAGGCAAGCACCTGCCCTACATCTCTAGCAAGGCCTTTACAATTGTAACCCCTCTTTCAATCCTGTAGCATCGAAGATGACAGTAGCTGTCACTCACTGGTATAAGCCAGGCTTGGTCCCCAAGGAAAGCAGAGCATGAATGAGGATGACCCTGGAAGCCTGTGGAACCCAGTGGCCACTGGGGGGCACAATTGGTTCTGGTTTGGCCAAATAGTCTTGCAAAGCAGCCTCTGTTCTGACAAAAAGGCCCCTCCCTACATGTAGCTTGGAGAGCAGCCAGGTTGTGGACTGGACTTGTATAGGGGCAGGGGACTTTCTTCAGGGGACTGTGAGTATTGGCTCAACCCAAGGCTCAAACTCTTCGTGGGTTTTGGAGGCTGAGCAGTCTGTTTAGACATATAACCCATTCTTTGTAGTCCTCTAAGTCTAGTTTGGCCCTGGAGGATCAGGGAGTTTGTTAAAAACACACATGCTAGGGAATCTTACCTAGTCCCACTGACCCTATAACTGGGCATGGGCCTCTGAGATACATTTTAATAAGTCCTTGTGGGGTTTTAGATATATGCGCATGCCGTGGATAATGCAGCCCAGGCCTGCCTTTCACATCTGCCTTTCATCCAGCTACTTCAGGAATGCTGCCCACCAAGGACTCACCAGCTCCACCCCACTCTGCTCAAGCTGAGTGCGAAAGAACGTCTCACATCTCCCTAGAAGGGACCTTGGAGATCCAGCCACAGGTACTTGCTTAGGTCACAGGTGTCTTCATTACCCTGTGGCAGGAGGGGTCGTGACATCGGCTTTCCTGGGGCATCTCAGATGGGAGCCACAGGCCTGGCAACTGGCCAGAGGGAGAGCGTAGGGAAGGGGGCCAAGGTGGATGTGCCCAGATTCCCAATGGTCCCTTCCTCCCTGAAATGGTTGGGAACCTCGGAGCCTGTCCCCATGCCAGGGATCTGTTCACTGGTGCAGGAAGTCCATTCAGCCTACATTACTTTTAATGAGTTTTTGCAAGCAACTGGCCTCTTCCTGTGACTCACTCTGCCTTTTGTGTGCTGGAGATCATGGCTTGAAGTTTCACTTCGGAAAGTAACCACCAGCACTGTCGATTTCTCTCGAGGCTGGAACCCCAACAAGTCACATTCATTTTGCAAAAGAGAAATGTAAATGCAGGCGTAGCCAGTCACATTTCTGCTGTGACTGTAAAAACATCCTTTTCCAAGATGGTCTACAGAGCCAAGCTGAGGAGAAATGGTTTACATTTTAAAGTCACACATTCATTCCAGGACTTTGACTTTCCCTCCAGAATGCTTTGTCTTCTTATTCCCCTTTCAGAGTTATCCAAAAAAAAAAAAAAAAAAAAAAAAAAAAAAAAAAAAAAGTGCTTGTTGATTGGATGATCCATCCCCTAGTGGACTGAAAGTGACTCAGATCTGGACCAGAGTTTGGGTTCTCATTAGCAGACAGCACAGGAAAAAATGATGCAAATAGAATTGATTGAATAACAAAGTGAATTGCACCCCAACCTTCCCCAGCAGTCAGTTCATGGGCCCACATACATGCATTTCTTAGGATAAGCCATATGGGTTAAGTGGGGCAAAAACTACAGAGCAACTGCCCCCCTCCACTGGCCCCTTAGGTTTGAAGAGTCATCCTCAAAATGCAGAGTTGAACCAAATTATTATCATTGCATTGTTTTGAATTTTTTTGTATGTATGTATGAGCGTTTTGACTGATCTTATGTAAGTACCAGGAACATGCCTGGTGCCCGTGGAGGCAGAAAGAGGGGACCTGACTCCCCTGGAACTGTGATTATTGACAGCCCAGCGTGAGCGCTGGGAATCCAGCTAGGGTCCTCTGAAACTGCTGAATGAATCTCCAGCTGAGATTATGACTATTATTTCAAGATGGGGTTTCATGGAGCCCAGGCTGGTCTGCAACTGGAACTTGCAGTGTGAACAAAGATGGCTCTGCCTTCGACTCCATTAAGGTGTAAATCATCACACCCAACATATGTGGAGCTGGGAACCTACCTCAGGGCCTCATGCATGGTGGTCAAGGACCCTAATGTGTGAGCTACATTTTAACTTCAAAAATTTTTTTTGACATAATTCTTTTTGTGCTCAATAATCAAGCCTAATGGCATTTAAAATCAAGTACAGCTGAAACTGTAGTGGTCAGAGTCCCAATTAACTCTAATGTGACATTCTGAAAAGCTGATGTGGGCTTGCGAAATGATGCTAAATTTGGGTTCGTAAGACGAATTCGATGTTTCACTTCTTGACTTAGTTCTTTCAGTCATCTTTGTCATTAAGCACTGACCTTTCCAAGGTTTAGGGTGAACAATCTAACTCCCTGTTTACGTGGATGTTTCGATGGTAATGAACACTTGTGGTGCATTTTCTTGATTGATGATTATGTGGGTGGTGCTATCCCTGGGCAGGTGTTCCTGAACAAGCCGTGGAGAGCAAGCCTGTAAGCAGCACCCTCCATGGCCTCTGCGTCAGCTCCTGCCTCCAGGTTCCTTCCCGGCATGAGTTCCTGTCCTGACTTCCTTTGATGATGAACAGTGAAATGGAAGTATAAGCCAAATAAATAAAGCCTTTCCCCCACAAGTTGCCTCTGGTCATGGTGTTTTATCACAGCAGGAACCCTAACTAAGACAAGGTCTATCTTGAAGTCCGTGAAGAAGAGTTCTTGAAGTGAGTGGGGACCTCAGGTGGTATCAGTTTTCACCTGCACAGTTGCTGCCTTTCTGTGACAACAAGCTATTCAGAAGGCAACAGACACTGGGGGGAAAGGGAGCGATCCTGAGACGCCTTTGACATCTGTGGAGAGTAGGAAGCAGAGAGCAGTCTTGACTTTGACCTCAGGAGAGCTTTATATATTTTTGTTCCTAGCAGTAGCAGCAGGGTCTGCCATCAGAATAATTTTTACAGTGGGGGACCAATGTCCAGCAGTTGAAATTCGGTAGGTTTAGGGTTGCTGCTGTCTTCTATGTCTAGGAGAATCATTTGATGATGGTAGGTGAAGTATGGCTTTTCCAGGTACTT